AGTTCTAATGTTGCTAATATGTGCTTGTGTGATGTAATCATGATGATTGTTATGAACAGAGGGTATTCGGCACAGTGCAATATATTTGTGGATCAACACTTCAAACTGTCTCAACATTACAACGGAACGAACATTGTGTATTGCAAATTTAACATTTATACGCAATCATAATAGAAGAGACAAAGAAAATGTTGGTTCATTATACCTTCCGCCATGACCTGACTGATAATTTCATCCTTTTCTTTCAAAAGAGCAGCTGCATCACTTTTTTTATTTTGCTCTCTCCTTAATGTATCCCGTTCTTTGGTCAAGGCATACACCTATAAACATTGAAGCATGCAAATATAAAACATATCAGCGATAAGAATAATCTTATTTTAGATGCACTAGGTACCAAGAAAGAATGTGGTTAGCCTGTATTTAAAAAATAAATACATCATGCTTTAATCCAAACTATTAGAATTAAGTATCGAATAAATAAAACCGACTTTAGATAAATACATGAATATGTAAGGTGCATCCAACAAGTAAAATAGTTTATCAATTAATATGGTAATAACTTTTTGTGGTGAAAATAGCATCCTGCTACTTTGAAAAATAAACAATTTACTACTTTGACTGCAGGAACTAGGCAGTGCCATTTAAGAACTTCACCAGAGTATAGTCTTAGCATAATTATGTCTATCGGACTACTGTCTTAATAAGTGATAACGTGTCTCACCTTCCTTTCAAGAGTTGCTACTCTCTGGTGATATTCATCTTTAAGTGCATCCATTTCGGCTTCAGCTGACTTGCTCTGTGCCATGTCAAAACAAAACAATCCAAGTTCATCACATGCTTATAGCACTACTGAGTAACTTAGGATAATTGTATAATATTCATGTCATTCAGTTTCATACAGATTAACTAAAACCTCCAGCAATTGCTAAATATAACATCTTAAATACCTTTTTAGAGAAGGAAAAACACAGAGTCTGCTATCAAGCATACCTTAAGATCATCAATTGTTGATTTCAGTTGTTCATTCTCATTCATCAGTCTTGCAATTTCATCAGCTTTGGACTGCAGGAAGAAGTGTTGTGAGACAAGTGAAGGGCCCAGGTATGTATGTTGCGCAGAAATGATAGAATATGGAAGTAAAAGATGCACTTAGTTGTAAAAACCTCTGACTGTATGCTGAATACATATGAGCATCATATACTCATGGAATTATATTTGTTTCCTCATATAAATCAGGCAAATATGAAAGACAAGAGTTTTAAATAGCTGTCCATGCTTTAATGCATTCCAAGAATATAAGACAAAAATAGGAATGCTCACTGAGCATGTGGAAAATATTAGATGAACGTGTCTCTGTTTATTTCTCTTTTTCAGTAAAAATGCTGCACCAAAAATAGAAGAATGAAACTTGAATGCAATTAATTGAGCAGATAGATCCAGTCTAGCAGCAGTTCATTTCCTAGAAAAACATTGTGCTACTATCAAAATCAAATCAGATATTGTTCATCAACTAGCGTTCTGCAGGGTTAGAGCATATTTCCATAAGTCACAGAAACATTTATGGATCTTCATTTATAGAACAAATATGCATTCACAAACTAAAGGAAGTTTTGTTACAAGTGGAAAATCATGTGGTAGTTTTCTCAACATACAGTTTCGACCGTACAAGCATAACTGGGTTGCTAGTAGACCACGTGGAAATGATACCTGGGATTGTCTTGCAGCACCTTGCAATGCAGCTTCCATCATCTTCATTTCACGTCTTAATTTCTCAAGTTCAGCGACAGCACCGACAGATTCCAGATGATTGCTAGTTGTAACAGAGCCCTGGATATTTTCTTCTTTTCTCAAATCATTTGAATTGGAACCAACCTCTACCAGTCCAACAGGCACATCTGCAGAAGTGGGCACCGACTCATTTTGCGAGTTTGAATCATTGCTCACAATTATGGACATTGAGCTAAGGTCTTCAAGCTGCACCATTGTATTCTCCTCCCTTTCAACAACAGTTGCTACCTGTGCTTCTGTTCGATTAGCTTCTTCATCATTTTCAGCAGCATTAGTATGCTCATCATGTTCTATGACTTCCACATGACTAGCTTGGTCAACGGTGTCAGTATTCTCATGTGAACTGCTTATTTCATTTCGATCATCAGCTCCTTTAACAATTTTCACAGCTTCATTTACATCATCTGAACTGGCTAGAATGGAATCTAGTGGTTGTGATTGTATGGCATTTTTATCATCTATGTTTTCCGTTCCAGCATGAAGGTATTCAGTTGTTCCCGTGTTACCTGATTGATCTAATTCAGTAGGTGAAGAAGGCTTTGTACCATCAGGTATGCCTCTGTCAGATTCTCCAATCTGACTTTGTGGCGCTTCATCATTAGGACCAGAATATTTTGTCTCTTGATGATCCTGGTTTCCCGTCTCAATTGTATTACCCGTCTCAGTGGATCCACTGTTTTCTTCTGCTGTTGATGGATCTGTGGGAGATTGTGGTGCTTCTGAATCCCCTTTATATGTGGGTGATTCAGTAGAATGACTAGGCTTTTCTTCTGTTGCTGAAAGTGATTTTGGAGTTTTTGGTGTTGCTAGTTGCTCAGAAACCTCAGCCTTGGATACAGGTGGCTCAGTTGAGCTGATAAGAGTCTCTCCTTGTTCAGAAGGCTTTGGAGATTGTGTTGATTCCGATTCTTCAGAAGCATCTACCTTGGATGTAGGCGCCTCTGTGGAGGCACTTTGGCTCTGTTCTGCGGTTGTACTTTTTGGAGGTTGCTGCTTTTCTGATGCTTCAGCAGAATCCTCCTCGCCATTATTTCCCATGAATGCCATGACAGGATTAAAGAACCCTATTCTATCAGAGTTAGATGCATGTGATCCTGATCCTACAACAAAAAGACACACAATTCGGTTAACCATGTAAACAAAGAAACAATAAGCTTAACTACCCCAAATATGACCGCTCTACTCATAGACCAACGACTGTTACAAATAGAACCAGTTGGAAAAGAAGTATGAAATATGTCACTAAACCAATCAAACACACATGATTCAGCTGCCGGGTACTGGCAGTACTTAGGCTCCAGTTGGCCAGTATATAGAGTATGACTTAAGAACCTACGGGGTACATCGGATGTAATGGAACAAGTGATAAGCAGGATCCATCCTCCTACGATCAAATTACCCAATCTCTACAGATAGCGAGATGTAGAACGAAATAAATGGGAAAAAAGTTATTGCCGACACTGATTCATCTCATCATAGTTTCGATCAAACACTTGCAAACAAGCACGAGTGCCCCAATGCAGCCGAATTACACGGAGGAGAAGGGGGCGAGAGTGACAATTCCAGTGTACCAGCGACGCTACCATACCTTCCTCATCGTCGCGCTTCTCCTCGAGCCCGAGCGCGCTGTCGAAGTTCTTCTCGATGTTCTTCACGCTCTCGCTGATCTTATTCACGGCCCCTGCGATATCCTGCAGGCCACCGAGCGACACCTTCCCCGACCACCACGCCATCCCTCCTCCTCCCCCGCCTCCGCTCCGATCCCCGCAACCACCAGCAGGAACAGCAGCACCCGGCTAGATCTCGCGCGTAGACCAATCAGATCCGCACCTCCGTCCCGCGCGCCCCACTCCCACTCGGCCGACGCGCGGGGGGGATCTGGCCCCCCGCCCCGATCGAAGGGCCGGGAACGGCGGCGGCGGCTGCAGAGGCAGAGCAGAGCAGCGCGGCGGAGCGGAGCGGGGAGGAAGCTTCACCGCGCCCCCGCCGCCGCGGCGGGGGGAGATGTAGGGGGAGTTGGGCGTGGGCTGGGCCCCGTCGCGTCGCGTCGGGTCGTGGCGGCGGCGAGAGAGAGAGAGAGAGAGAGAGGCTTAGTGCGTTCGGCCGCGGGTGGTGGTGGTGGCGTGGGTGCGCCGCGTCGGTGATCGCAGCAGCTCGCCACCGGGTGTGATCTGAGCCGCCCGACCGCGCGGCCGCAGCAGTGGGTGGATCTCGGCCTAAAGTCGCCGTGGATGGTGCGGGTGCGCCTCCCCGTCGCGCAAGTGCGGCGACGGCCCATGTAGTGGAAGTGGGTTTGGGCCTTGGGCTTCTGGCATTAGGCCCATTTTGATGAGAGGCTGCGAGGTAGGGGTGTTCTTGGGCCAGGCCCGAATAGCAGTATTTGGGCTGCTGATATTTTCGGTTGAGAAGACAGGGACGATCTTTGATGCGACGTATGGTACAGTACGCTGAAATATACTGACGCCGTAGGGGACAGCGTCCAGGACGATAATAAAAAAATTCTACGAGATCTGGATCGCCGTATGTTGTCTCTCTACGATACAGGGGAGTACTGTTGGATTGATGACGGTGAGTACATCCCCAAGCATTGATCAGATCATTGGCATCACTAGTGATGGTCGGTGATAGATGCTCAACCCAAATTACACCATGATATAATTTTTCATGCATCTCCACACAAAATTTCTACACTTTTTGAAGTGTGTGCGACCTAACCGGTTAGGTTCTTGTAGTGAAACTTGCCAACCATCATTAAAAAAAATTTCTACGCTTTTCGAAGTGCGCCTAACTTAATTGGATAGATAAATTTAAGTTATATTTAATATGGATGCTCGTATTTATGACTAATTATTTTTTTAATGGTAGTGCAGGCGATGCAAGGTGTCCGTGGTAGCTTTGTCTCGACATAAACCGGCCTAGTCATTCTGAAATGCTCGTAGAGATAAGGTGCACACGTATGTGTTTTACAAAGATGAGTGTGCAGATATATGGGTGTTTTGCCGAGTTTTCAAAAAGAACTCTCACGCTCTTTTTTTGTGTAAAAAAGAAGAAGACAAGATTCATCTGCATTCGATGCGACTCAATGTGTGTGTTTTGTGCGATCTATTCAGTATAGGCATGCTGTGCCACGTAGGCGCGCCATGTCAGCGAGCTCCAAATCCAGGAGAACCAAGATAAGGCTATCCGGAAGAGGCCACGCGGCGAGCTCCCTATGGGGCGTCGGCCATCGCGGGAGCCACGCGGACTACGCGTTCCAAATCCTTAACAGCATCCGCCGAATTAAGTCTGTGTGCACGTACGTGTAGCCGCCGCCGCAGATAGTACACCGGCTATCTATCCATCTATCTACTCAGCTTTGCGTCCTCCCGCGAATTCACCGCAGCAATGGCGTCCCTCGTCGCCGTCCAGCCTGTCGCCGTGAAGGGCCTCGCCGGCAGCTCCATCTCCGGCAGGAAGCTCGCCGTCAGGCCGTCGCCCCGGGCGCTCTGCCGCACCACCCGCAGGTACATACGAGGAGTACGCGAGTAACAGTGGAGATGCACTTGATATTGCAGTGGCAAGAGGTGTATGTGGTTTCAATCCCGAGATCCCGTGTTCAATTCTTATCACGCTCATAATTTCTTTGCTACAGGCCGCGCGCCGCCGTGGTGGCCAAGTACGGCGAGAAGAGCGTCTACTTCGACCTCGAGGACATCGGCAACACCACCGGGCAGTGGGACCTGTACGGCTCCGACGCGCCGTCGCCGTACAACCCTCTCCAGGTTAGTATTACCTGACTAAAATATATACTTAGCTCGATGATTAATTTACTGAATAATTCGTGTGGGTGATCGATGCAGAGCAAGTTCTTCGAGACGTTCGCGGGGCCCTTCACCAAGAGGGGGCTCCTGCTCAAGTTCCTGCTGCTCGGCGGCGGATCGCTGGTGGCCTACGTCAGCGCGTCGGCGTCGCCAGACCTGCTTCCGATCAAGAAGGGCCCGCAGCTGCCGCCGACGCCCGGCCCACGCGGCAAGATCTAAATTAAATTCCTCGTCTCTGCCTCACCTTCTTCTTGATCCGATCCATCCATGCAAATCCTCTGTACTGTACTGCTAGTCCCCCATGGCCGGATCGCCATGGATTAATTCCCCCTGTTTATGATGTTGATATAATTGTACTATTCCTATGGCTATATAAGTTGTAAAGGATCCAATTCGATGCTGCATGCGACGTACTGCGATCCCATGTGTTCGGTTTTAATTTTCTGTCTCCCCTCGATTTTGCATCTCGACATTCATGTGGTAGTGTGAAAAAACTGAAAATGGCGTGCATGATTACCCGGCCTTAGTAGTTTGATACTACTACTTACTACTTCAGTACTTCTGTTTTGCGTTTATGTCACTAGTAAATATGTCTCCTCAGTATTCACCACTAGTAGTTTCATTAAATCTACGAAAAACTGAAAATGGCGTGCATGATTACCTCTAGTTCTATCTAGTCTAGAGCATATGATTATCCAGATTGAGTGATACTACATTGTCTATATCAACTACAACCCCTGCATAGCCCACCTACAAGATTTGAGATCATACGAGACACTGTTACAGTTACGTGTATTTTGAGGATGTGTATACCTCTTTAGTTTAGGTATTATACCTTCCAATTAACACTAAAAAGGCATTTTGAGGGTCGGTGTAAATTCTGATTGATTCATACAATGTACAGGAGGTCAAGATCAACTAATTATCATAGCTTTGTGCACCAAGCTTCCATTGGGAATGGAGGTGAAGATGGCTAAAATTTGCCAAACCTCACACTGGTACATGCTCAATTCTGCATCTCATGATGCTATGAACATCTAAGCTATTTACATACATGTATTTTTCTGAATGAGCTGCTGCAGCGAGCATCATCCATATGTCTTTCCCCCTACACATAAACTAGTGTCTAGATATTGGGCTTCTTGTTCCACTCAAATTCTCAAGTTTTTCTAGGTAAGAATACCTCTTAGTTGCAATCGGTGAGACCTTTGTCAACTTTCGACTATGAGCATCCCCCCTACATCCCTTTTCTTTTGAGTCCATCTTCGTCGCCACAACATCTTGATCTCGAGGACTGACAAAGTCAAATAGTGTCGCTGAAACTGGTTCCATTCTTCCCAGTCTCTCTACCTCGGCCTTAGCATCAATGACAACCTTATCAGTGTCATATCTTGATAAGCTGGCCATTCTCATTGATTCTTGGGTTCTAGTATTAGAAGCTTGCGCGAGGGAGTCAGCATGAAGAACATCTTCGATTCGAGACATAACCGTGAAAGCTAAACTTTCAAGAGTCCTGGAGTAGCTCTCCAAAATGGCCAAGCCAATATCCTGAGGGGGAAAAATAGCAGAGAATTTTTGCAATGAGTAAACATACGTACTGTAGCAAATCCGAAAAGACAACATGAAAAGCAGATGATTCTCATGGTATACCCTGTTGTACTGAATTTTGCTTATATCAAGAGCTGACTGAGCAATGCCGGGAAATCTGTGCTTGATGAGGAGGAGGACATTCTCTGCTCTTGCTTCAAATTTCTCCCGCTTCTCAAATTTGACACCATGCCCCCATGACAATTTACCTTCCTTGTGCACCATTTTCCTCTGCCAAATGACCACAGAGGCTTCAATTCGGTTCTTAAGATCTATGATGTTGTACTCAGCTGACATGTCCACAGTTCCTAAGAGTTCTTCAGGATTGAAATGATCTTCGGTTATAATCTTGTACATTGAATCTCCAAGGGTGGACTTGCCATTCTATCAGGCAAAAAAAAAAAAAAGTAACACAGTCAGTAACTAGAAAAAAAAATGTTGCAAATTGTCAAAATAGATTCTTTGTGCAATGTAGTATTATTGATCACCTTGGGTAAAGACTCTATATATGCTTCAGGAACATCCATTTCCATAAGAACATTAGCGTTGATGGCCATTGCTGCCTTAAGGACTTGATTGACCAGATCCTTCTGATGTTGAACCCACTTTCTTGATGCATCTGACAGACCACCAGGAGGGACTCTAACAGTTGGGAGCCACCATCTGTCATCCTGCCTCGGCGTGTTTCCCTTCTCTGATTCACTCGCGTCTTTCGACACGTACCAAAACTCCTGCTTGTCTTTGAAATTATCGAGATATTCCTGCTCCACAAGGGAAATGTGCAACAGAAGGACGATTGTTTGATTCAGAATTTCAGATATATAGATGTTGATTTCTGGTGGTTCAAAGATCAGCACAGCAAGCTTACAAGGAGCATCGCATCAAGCTTGCGCAATGCGGGGATGTTCATCTGTAAATCCCGACGCTGCTGGGTTATCATGATCTGCTTGACAAGAATGAGTCAAACAATTCGGAAATAGAAGTATTGAGAATTAGAATGCACCACTAACTCATTCAATTCCATAATGAAGTTCACTGATACGTTGTACAGTGTGTCTACCGAATGGAAATAAAAGGGGGTCATTTTTTTTTCTTTTTTTATTGTGCGGCTCTGCCTCCACCATCCTGCTAATTGGAGTAGCGATTTCCCCTTCCCCCGGTATAAGCATGTCTGGCAGATTGCGTTGTGTAACAAAAACTATTTTTCCTTCTAATATATTAACGTGCAATCTTTTTGCACGTTAAGTTTTTTCTTTTTTCTTTTTTTTTACCTCCATGGTGGATCCATCCTCGGAGACTTGTTTTGACGGGACAAATTCGACGATGTGATCGGAGACTGACAAGAGCCAGTCGATCTCCCTCCTCCACCGCGCCTTCTGATCGGCGGCCATCGGCTGGAGGCGGCGCTGCTCGCCGAAGACGGAAGCTGGAATTTAGCAAGAAACGAAGCATGCAACAACATCATCATCGAACCAGAGATTCTTCTTTTCTTCAGAAAAAAACAGAAGTGAATTACACACTACCTGCAAGATTGGTGATGGCGTTGGAGAGAGCGAGAGCAGAGGACACCCCTTTCCCGGTGCCGGACATGTCCTCCCCGAGTAGAAGCTTCGAGAACTTCTCCCTCACCATCTCCGCGTCTGCAATTTCCGGACGAAACCCATCATTTCTTGAACGAGAGATGGCAACAATTTTGGCCGGCATTGATCATCCCAGAAGAGATATATATTAGTCACCTGAAGGTGGGCCCTCATGCAGCGCGGCGGGTGCGGGCCTCGCCGGCGCCGGAGCCGACGACGTCCTCGGCGGCGCCTCCTCCTTATCCGACGGGCCACCGGCCAGCGGTGGCAGCTCGAACGACAGCCTCCCCCTCGACCCCGAGCTCCTCGACAGCGCCCGCCTCGCCGCGGGCGGCATCTCCGGGTCCATGGGGCTCCCCGGGTCGTCGTCGGACAACGCCGCCGCCGACGACGACGACAGCGACAGCGCCAGCGGCGACGACGACGACGACGACGTCGACCTCCGCCACCTGAACCTGTCGAGGCCGTGCCCGATCTTCAGCAGCGGCCGCGCCATCACCGACGACGCGTCAGCATCACACCACGGCCGAGGCGAGGCTAAGCTACACCATTTCTTCTTCTTCTCTGTTTCTTTTCCTTCCGTTTTTTTTGCCTGCCTGGCTTGGAAATTCAGGGACGTTCCAAACATGGAGCACGAGATATTTATAGCTGCGTCAGGCTGTAGCTGGGATGAAATTTATACGTACAAATGTACGTATTCCTATATTTAATCCTCGCGTGATTAATTCAGCACGTACGTACTCCAGTGTACTCCCGCCCAGTAATTGCTGTGCGATGTGATGAACAGCAGTGTACTGCTTATGGTGATTTCTTTCTGATTGTTTCAGGGAACAGGAGGGATCCTGTGCGTCTGTGCCCTCTGTCCCAAGGTGAAAAATGGGAGTTGAGACAGAAATCTCGATGTAAATTGTCGATGGAACTGTAGAATATTTTTACTACTCTATCCGTTTTATATTACTCCTGACATTCATAACCTTTTTATTCGTCAAACTTCTTTGAGTTTAACTGAGTTTGTAGAAAAATATAATAATATTTTTATTACAAAACGAAACAAAATATTAAAATATATTTAATGTTTGATTTAATGAAACTAATTTGACGTTGCTATTTTTTTCTATTAATTTTATTAAACCTTAAAAAAATTAACTAAGAAAAAAATTAAGATTTATAATATGAAACGGAGGGAGTAGCATCTTAAACGGATCGAGCAATCGATCATGGGTGAATCATCAGCTTTGCACAGCAAAAAACGATCATAGTTGCTTGCATTTTATTACATTTTTTCTCTTAACAGAGGGCTAGTCCTGCCCAGCCACGTCCCAGCACACCACTCACTAAGATTTTATGGCTTTTTCGGCCCAGTAAAACCAACAGTATTGGAGAAAAAAACTGGGCCTGTAAGCTGGGCCGCGGGGTGGAAGCGCTAGTCGCTGCGGGCCGAGCTGTACTTGAGCCCGAACTCCCGGAAGCCGATCTCCATGTCGGCGGCGGCGACGAGCAGCTCGGCCGCCTGCGCCGGCTCGAGGATCTCCACCGCGCGCTTCACGGTGCGCAGCCGGAGCGCGTCGGCGCGGCCGAGCACGCCCCGCACCCGGCCCACTATCCCGTCGACGTCGATCCCGCCGCCGACGGCGACCGCGCCGTGGCCCTCCTGCACCAGCGCCATCTCCCGCGACAGCCCGTCCTCCTCGGCGACGGTCCGGCGCTGGAGGTCGTCGATCTGCGCCAGCTGCGACGGGCTGAGGTCGCCGAGGTTGCCCGAGCTGACGCCGAGGAGGAGGTCGGGGAGCTGCGCCTCGAAGCGGCGGCCGGACTCGGTGTAGAGCAGGTGGACCAGCGTGGTGGGGCGCCACCCGGCGAGCCAGTACGCCGCGCCGCGCTCCACGGGGCTCGCCCACGGCGCCGACAGCGTCCACACCGGGTCCATCTCCGCCCGCGCCGCCGTGTAGCACTCCACGTGGGCGACGAACCGGCCCACCAGGGAGCCCAGCTGGGCCGGGTCGTCCGCCCACCGGGCCGCCCGGAGCTCGCGCCGCAGCCCCCGCAGCCCGCGGAGCCAGAGGTGGAACCGCCGCGTCGCCGCCTCCACCTCCATCGCGGCGAGGCCGGTCGGCGCGCGAGGCCGGTGGGGATTTTATAGGCGGCGGGAGAAGGGGATCCAGGGCCGTGGATTCGGGACGAACGGACGGTCGCGGGGGCGCGCCGCGGCGGCGTATGAGGAGGCGATAGGTGGCGCGCATGCAGGAGGCCCATGTGTGAGCCACTGAGCAGAAGAGACCGGCCGCGAGCGGCGACGACGTCACGACGCCGCGGCGAGGGTGGCTGGCTGCTGGGAGCCAATGACATGTGGCCCAACCGCCAGTGGGGTGCCCGCCTGGCCTGCCCAAAGGTCAGTGCTTTTTCTTCTTTCCTCTTCTTTTTCCCCTCTCAACGATCACGCGAGCAATATTCTACTGCAATACTGCCCTCCTGTTCATACATGTCACGTCATCGGCAATCGTTCGTTGCCCAAATCTTGCACGAAATGGATGGGATTTGATTTGAGCTTGCGAAAATGATGTATAACTCATTTTTTCAGCATACGACGTCATTACTTTTTTATCACACCTTTAAATATTCGTCTTACTTAAAAATTTACATAATTATAATTTATTTGTTGAAGTTGTTTTATCACTTAAAATACTTTAAATATAATTTATTTTTATAAAATTTTAAACCAAACGAATAACTATATTTATGTTAGAAAGTCAACGGTATCATTTGTTAAGAAACAGAAAGAGTACTAATGCTACGTTCAATACTGCTACTAACAATGCTCGATTAATTTGCAGCAGCAAACCCAAAATTAAACTGACGAGGCGATGATCATTTGGGCCTGGAAATATCTGTCGCCTGACGTGAGCGATGACCAGCCGGGAAACCGATCAAAAATCATTGATGCACATGGGAGTTTTGGCCGGTCTGAGACCCTATTTAGATTGGACTAAAACTTTCAAGTTACTATCATATCGGATATTTGGACACTAACTATAAATATTAAACGTAGACTATTAATAAAACCCATCCATAATCTTGGACTAATTCGAGCGACGAATCTATTGAGTCTAATTAATCCATAATTAGCCTATATGATGCTACAGTAAACATTCTCTAATTATAGATTAATTAGGCTTAAAAAATTTGTCTCACGAATTAGCTTTCATTTATGTAATTAGTTTTGTAGGTAGTCTATATCTAATACTCTAAATTAGTGTCTAAATATATGGACTAAAGCTAAGTTCATGGATCCAAACACCACCTGAGCAACGCCTTTTTGGCTGGGTTCCATCTGGCTGGCTGCAGATGTTCGGGATGGAGTCCGTAGCTTCAAGAACATCGCACACAGATCATGTGTTCTGCAGATTAAAAATGGGGCATATGGTTTTTCTGGTGGTGTGACTTGTGAGGATAGGAACATTTTGGGGGGGCTAAGTCGGAGTGTGCGACAATGTGGATACTGTTGTCTGCTACTGCTCACGAGGTCAGATTAATATTGTGCTTTCTGGTGTCAATAATGGAGTTCTCTATGTCGAATATGGCGGCGTGGCCTTACCTGACCAAGGCCACCTTGCTCTCATGACTCATGTTAACGTATAGAGTTTTGCTCTGACTTTGCCCTTTTGCTTTATACAAGTATACTCCCTCCGTCCCACAATATAAGAGATTTTAAGTTTTTATTTGTAACGTTTGACCACTCATCTTATTTAAATTTTTTTTACAAATATAAAAAATGAAAAGTTGTGCTTAAAGTACTGTAGATAATAAAGTAAGTCATAAATAAAATAAATAATAATTTAAAAAAAATTAAATAAGACGAGTGGTCAAACGTTATAAGTAAAAACTCAAAATCCCTTATATTATAGGACGGAGGGAGTACAAAGGTTTTGGACTTCAGAGCTTACTGCTTCTTTGTCAGTTAGCTGCTCCTCATTTGGCTGCTTGGTTGTACCAACCGCATGCCAAAGCTTACCTGATCATCACTGGTATTACTACCTCCCTTTTTGAATAACTGATACGGTTGACAATGACTATTTCGATATTAACCACTAATTAATCTCAAATAGTTAGACTGAATAATCTATGATGAATTAAAGCATCATGCTTATTTTAGGATGCAATACATTATGATAGTGTGGCACAATATTCCTTCTCGTATTTGCAACTCTTTTTTTTTTGTAAAAAAGACGAGTGGCCAAATTTTCAAAATGATTAGTGCCTATTGCCTAACGTCAGTTATTTGAAAACGGATGGAGTATGACACACAGAAAGTACTCATCTTTGACATTTGCAGCAGAGTTGCACAAGGGCAGTATCAAACATGGGCAGGGAGTTGCACAAGGTAAAGGTTGCACGAACAGCAGTATGCACAGCAAGATCGTCATCCTGCAGGATGTTGGTTTTTCAGAAGCACATTTATCATTGTTTCTACCTTGGCTCCACTGGTGAGAGGACCTCCACTTCAGCCCACCAGAGCGGAGACAATCTGGGCGTTGCTGCATCCGGCGAAATGGCTATGGTCTCTCTCAGCCTTGTGGTGATCTCCCTCATGCCTGGTCTCTTCGTTGGGTCACTCTGGATGCATTCCATGATTATCTGACAGATCACATCTAGCTCATTTTCTTTGTGTGACTCTAGTACTGAATCAAGCATGGAGGCTATACTCCGACCTTTGATAATGCACCCCAAAGCCTGTAAGATAAGAAAAATAAAAAACAGTTTTATTTTCTTTAATCTGATGTTGAATTGGATTTCTTTTGTGTAAGTTAAACTGTTGAAGCATTTGACTTTGCAGGCTGCTGTGATTACCAGATTCGCCAGGGAGCCCTCGTTTTCAGAGTAAGGGGGTTTCCCTGAGATGATTTCAAGAAGCAGTATGCCAAAACTGTAAACGTTCCCTGCCAGTCTAGCAGATATTGGTTCATGATGATCATTATTCGCTGTCGACTTTTTGCCGTCGGAAACCACTTCCTGCCAAACACTCAAGTCTGCAATCTGAAGAAAGGATACAGATTTTAGCATCAAACTGTACTTTACTGAGTACTGAATAAAGTTGGGTACTGAAACTGCGTTTTTCTCTAAACCTCCTTCACATCAGAAGGACATTAAAAGAACTACTGAAACCATAGCAACTGAATATGGCTAAGATGCCTAATTCTTGATAAACCATAAGGCATAACAAGGATTTAGTTAGACCATATGTACCTTTGCAGCACAATCTTCAGAAAGAAATACTGCACTTGAATGCAGATCAGGGTGCACGTTGGCAGGGTTGAGCTCATGCATGTGCTGAATACAGTAAGCTATTCCCATGATTATTCTCATTCTACTTCTCCAGTCGATGTGATCAAAGGCCTCATCTGCACAAATAATTTACCAGCATGTTATCACTTGAATGTGAAGAAAAAAAATTGGTATTCCTCATTGCAACAATGAGAATAACTTTCACATAGTATTTACCATGGAGATTCTCATAAAGCGTCCCATTTGGTGCGTATTCGAACACCATCACCCTCGTGAAAGGTTCTTCCTCCTCACAAAACCCCAGCAGATTGATGAAATTCTTATGATTTATTCGTGAGAGCGACTCTATCTGCTTGTTCACAAGGGAAAAAAAAGGTAAATTTTTTCATGCTAATGCAATTCTGCAAAAGGATTAGTTGAGGATCTAGTACACATATTATGACTACCTTTTTCCTGAAACAATCTTCACAGTGCTTTGACCAATCTTTGCTGGATTTAATCGTTGTCGATACAACGGCGATCTCAACACCGGATGATAAGGTTCCCTTGTAGACAGTGTAGTATGGATGACTTGCCACAATATTACTGAAGTCCTCACAAGCACGCTCCAGTTCTGGACGCTGTAATTGGGGCACTCCTGAAGCACATTCAGATCAGAACACAGTGAAAACCAGAAACACAACATGAATATTTGATCTGAAAACCAGACTTGAACACAGTCAAGAACTTACCGTTATAAGAATAGGATGTAACAGAACAATATAAGAAAATATTACAAATCAAAATGGCAAATATTGCAGTATTACCTGACACAAATGCCTTCTGCAGCTGGCCACTGAGTCCAGTCCTCCAAGGGCCAATAGTCGCAACGGATTTCTTGCGGCATGGCAAGAACATCCATGCCATGCCAGCAAGCATAATCAAACCAGCCACTGGAATCACAACTATATACAGCCACTTCTTGAATCCTTTGCTTGATCCTTTATTTGCAGAAGCCTCGGCAGGGTGGGATGAACTATCTAGAGGCTTGTAATTTGGATCATTTTGCAGTTGATGAGATGTTGGAAACGTCATGTTTCCAACTGTTGGGAAATGATCTTTGTAGAGTAGAGCAGCGTGATTTCTGTCATGAAGTAGCCTCCGGTTGCTAAGCTGAACGGGTAGCTCGTCCAGTGAGGAGCAACCGATCACGACAGCTTGGAGAATCAGCACCACGAGCACGAAAGAACTCGATGAATCCATCACTGGGATATTCGCGACCAACACCTGATGATTCAGTTGCTAGTGTCTTGAATAAATCAGAACACAGGGGCAGAATCATCAGCCAAATTCACCTGAAACACAGGTGTTCATATCTTACTGTCAGATGCCTTCTGCCAAGATCAGGCAAAGAACAACCTCAGTTTCAGAAACAGATAGGGAACTGAAGATACTTCATCACCTCGAAAGCAATTGAAAGCGCATACCTTTTGCTTGGCTGCTGTTCAGACTTCAGAAATAATTCTGCTCACACAGTGCAGAAACTGGAGCATGCAAGGGTTCAGGCTTCAGACTAGACAGAGGCTAGAGGAAGCAACAGGAGCTCGATTCTTGGTAGTAGTTGAAGAACCAGGAGCAAATCTTCAGATAAAGAAAAAAAAAAGGGGGAGATTTTTCTGCAACGACTAAACTGGATACAGGAGGAATGGGTAAAACTCTTGGTTCACTGCATTCCCTTGTATTCTTCTCTCTTTGTCAAACATCTCGGTTGTGTTGATCAGTTAATGCAGGGATTATTAAACAAGAAGGAAGAGGACGAAGACGGAGACTACTAACCCATCGTTATCTCCATGGGCAACTCCACTTAGTACACGCTAATCTCACGTTTGAAAAATCGGCCACGTAATCATAGCCAAGAAGCAACCACTCTGCAATCTGCATGCTGGATTGCTGGTTGCAGTTCTTTTTGCCAACGGCTGCACTGATGGTCACGGGCAATGACGCTACCCCTGAATTTGTCCTCATCATATGTAATTGAGACCTTTTATGACTCGCATAATTCTCCTTCCGTTTGTTTTAACATATGACATCATTATCTTTTAGACATACGTTATATCATTTATCTCATTCAATTTTCTTAAGTATATAAAAGTATACGTCATGTCTAAAGTAAAGTAAGTCGTAATAAAACAAAAATAAATAATGATTATTTTTTAATAATACGAATAATTAAATACCATAATCATATGTTTACGTATGGCTCATGTAACGCTCTCTCAAATACACGACCTTGTTAACTTGTAGACATACGTTCAATTGCTCACGCTATTCAAAACTTTAAAATATGTAGAATATAAATCATGCTCAAATTGTTTTCAATGATAAAAGTAAGTCATCATATGTTAAAAAACAGAGCGAGTACATTGCCATTGCAATGCTACTTCGTCGGATAGAGACTCTTGGAATTTTCCAAAAAAAACCAAGGAAATGACTGGGCTGCTACCTCCCTGGGAGGCTGGGACGAAGAACTCAGGCCCCGCTGCACTGGATAAATACTCCATTCGTCCTCGTAAAGAAAGTCGTTTTGGACAGCGACACGGTCTCCAAAACACAACTTTGATTTCATGTTTCTATAAAAATATTTATTAAAAAGTGATATATGTATACTTTTATGAAAGTATTTTTCAAGACAAATTTATTCATATATTTTTTATATTTTTAAACTTAATAATTTGATAGTTATTTATGATTTATATTCCTAATGTTTAATTTAAATATTGTCCTAAACAATTATGGAGGGAGTACTCATCGTTGTCCTCGAGACAGACACTAAGATTAATTAGTGCTACGTGTTCCATTCAAAAAAATAATGCTGCGTGTTCCATTCAAAAAATTAGTGCTATGAGGCAATCGAAATTACGCAGCAATTGACAGGGACAAAGCAAATTAAGCAGATGCATCCATATTGTTGACTTCTAAATTCTAATAAGTTGTACCACTAGTACAGGGTTTTTTCCTGATAATTTAGCTGATGGGGAGCCTAACCTAACCTACCCCATGGACCAACTGTTTAGACTTTCAGAAGTCTGAATTGGAATCAGAAGATCGAAGAAGTTAGTACCATAATCAAATAGGCCACTATCATAGCCTAATCAATGCTATTACCGTGCACCGATCACCGAAGATTTGCTAAGAACTAGTGGTAGCAAACTGGTTGGTCATCACTCTGACTCTCCCGTTGATGTACACAAGCCATGTGTAGGTGATCAACAGCAGCGCAATATCCAGCATTTTTTTTCTGAAGCAGTGGCACTAGCACAAGATACTGTGCTACTAGTAGTACTTCCTCCGTCCCAGTAAAATTGACGTTTTAAGGTTAGTAGCTAAGATTAGCTGTTGTGCAAAATTACCAAATTGTATCCATGATTTGATTCAGCTGTCATTTCCAGCATTTATACATGCACTCCGAATATTCTAGAGGATATTTCCAGCAGTAATGAAGTAACCACAACTCACTACCACGTGTTACGGGGAGTACATAAATTGGCGCCTTGGCCACACGTTTGATAAAGGGGCAAAGCCATCATTAATATATTCAAAAATTTGAATCAACAATTAAACTTGCTTTGGCGTCCAGGAGTGCCTCTTCTCTGTATAGCGACACATTTTTTGAGACAAGCCTGGGGCGTTGAAACGTCAATTTTACTGGGACGGAGGAAGTAGAAAGTAACACCAAATTAACGGGACAGAGATCCTCTGCAGTATTACAGATAATCTCCACTGAGTCAGTGGACACGTTCCAGCAACATCACAAATGTATTCAGAGGCAAATCTGATTCTTCCAGAAGCGGAATCAAACGGAGGAGCCCAAGGAAAATAAGGTGGGCGAATCAAATGGTGTCAGGGGCCAGCAGCTGGCCGCCAGCTGCACGGAGCGAAGATGTAAGTGGAGTATGAGGTTGACCCCTCTCTCTTTCACTGCACAATTCCATCGTGTTGCCATCCAGCCTCCTAGCACAGTGGATCTTGAAAAGAGCTCAAACCATGTTTCATACCCAGATTTATAGTAATAGGAATTGTCATATTCTATATAGATTCTTATATTCTATAACGAAAGTAGTAGAAAATTTAGCTAATAAAATTCAAATGAAATCCATACATTTAAGGCTATGTTCTTTTCCGCTATTGTAGCTTAGTTACTCCTTATTTTTCGTTGGCACATTTTTCAAACGGTTAAACGGTGAGAAAACTTTTATATATAAGTTATTTAGAAAATTTATCAAACTTTTATATATTAATACTTAATTGATTATATATTGTTTTACGTGCGGTTAATTAGCCGTTTCAAACATCTAAAACGGACTTGTACATTTCACATACTACTACTAGTAAATTTTGAATTTCTTGAAAACTCTCATCGGGAGCATCCGAGGTGGTCACTACAAGATATTTAACTTTTGCTACTCTTATACATATACTCCCCCGTTTCACAGTGTAACACTTTCTAGCATTGTCCACATTCATATAGATGCTAATGAATCTAGACATTATTATATATATATATTCATTAATATCTATATAAATATGGACAATGCTAGAAAGTCTTACATTGTGAAACGGATGAAATAATAATTAAGAATTTACAACTAGACCCATGGACACATAAGGACACACATTATAGACTTTGAGTAGCAAATTTTTAATTACCATATCTTAAAAGTAAAAAAAAATTAATCAGCAACTTTTAACTTTTTTTAATTTTTAATTACCATATCTTTAGCAACGTCCATTCCTCGAATCCAACGGCCGTCGACATGTCTCGGTCCGGGCCAACGAGCAAAAACACAAACCAGAGAGTGCGCCCGTACCAGTCCAGGATTTCTAGAAGCGCAAGACGAAACCGTCAAAATTGCGCTACAAAAACCGCGCGTACCGCAGCCCGCAGCCAAGCCAAACACCACTCGCAGATCCGCTTCGCTTCTCCGAGACAAGCGGAGGAGGAGTGCTTCTTCCGAGCACACGGCGCGCGAGGGAGAGGAGAGAGGAGATGGCGGCGGTTCGGGAGCCCAGGGAGGAGGCGGCGGTGGGGGAGGGGGAGGGGGAGGAGGAGGGCAGGTGGGGCGGGCTGCTGCCGGAGCTCGTGGAGGAGGTGGTGCGGCGCGTGGAGGCGTCGGGGGGCGAGCGGTGGCCCGCGCGGAAGGACCTCGTGTCGTGCGCGTGCGTCTGCCGCCGGTGGCGCGAGGCCGCGGCGGCCGTCGTGCGGCCGCTCCCCGAGTCCGGCAGAATCACCTTCCCGTCATCGCTCAAGCAGGTGTGGCCCCTTGCTTAGGCGTTGATTTAATTAGCTTAGTACTATTTGGTGCTAGGGCTCATTCATTGCAGGGTTGCAGAAATACCAGTTTTGTGAAGTAGGATTTTTGGCAGATCAGATTGGGATCGATATGGTCTATAATCTGTGTGTACACTAGTACTCCACCGATCCGGTATTTGGTCTGGGGTTCGAATAGGATTTGGGAATGAGAAATAGAATATTAGTTTTAAGTTTTAATAAATTTGCTAGTATGTAGGAGTAGGGAAGAAACTTGCAATTGGGAAATGTATGCTTTATATCTCTGTTTTTAAGTTCCAATGTGGTCACTAATATTAGGTGACTAATGATTATGCAGAAAGTTCAGTTCTGACCAGATTTAGTGCCTATTAGGACAGTAGTTACAGGTTTGTGCCTATAATCTTCGTTATGTGGCACGCTGAAGGATTATCTAGTCTCTCTCTCTCTTTTTTTTTTTTGGGGGGGGGGGGGGTTGAATAGCGTAGCACATATTTAGCTCATTAGCTATAAGCTATGTGGATATTTGTACAGTTCTTACAACTTGAAGAGTGGGTTTGAGGTATCTGCATTTGCACTTTTGGTCAGTTATATATCCAGTGCTGACACCATTTTGCTCCATTCCATGTTGTTTGAGCAGCCAGGCCCTAAGGACTTCCCAATCCAGTGCTTCGTCAAGCGAAACAAGAAGAAATCTATGTTCTATCTTTACCTAGGCTTGTTGAATGGTATGTTTCTAAGGCATAATCCAAACATGCAAGTGCTTCCTTAATGACCTGAAGCATTATCGTTTTTCACTTACTGCTACTTCAATTTGAAACACCATGTATTATGACTCAATCTGGTTTGTTAGGTTCACATGTGGTTGGAATAGTTTTCCCTTGTCCCTGCATCAGCTTTAGCCAGGTTTTTTAATGCCTGTATACAAAGTTTATTGCCACTGAATCATCTTGTATTTGAATTGCTTTGTACATTCTTCAATGACTTGAGAGCTTACACATAATACGTTTGTATGGCTCCTGTCTGCTGCTGATGTCACTACTCACTAGTTATTGGCAGTCACATGTGTACCTGCTTGCCTGTTTGATTCCTCTTATATCAAATGTTATGTTGCTAGTTCTATTTCTGCCAAGTTTCTATGCTTTGTTTGCAGTGCATTTGTGATATTTATAATTCAATACGACATCATGTGCACAAGCTGGATAAGCAGACATATATTGGATAATTTTGGATATTCTTTCCTGATTTCCATGATAAATGGGATTTTTCATGAGACATGCTTTGCTGATTATCTATTTATTTCATGTTCAACAGGTACCATGGATAAAGGGAAGTTTCTCATGGCCGCTAGAAGGTTTAGGAGGGGGCCCCACACAGAGTATGTTATTTCCCTTGATGCTGATGACCTGTCACAAGGAAGCAATGCATATGTGGGGAAACTGAGGTAGCTTTCGCGCATCCTGTAGTTATCATTTACCTTCCATTGCTCTTGCTCACTTGCTCCATGTGTTTTCTTCTGTTGTCTTTTTCTACCAAGAAACAGGCACATAAACATTCTTCTAAATACTATTTAGTAAGTGTAATTAATAGGTGGTACCAATTCATTAATACATGATCTAGAAATTTATTGGTATTACTGTGCTGGGACTATTGTACGTTCTGTACATGATTGTGGGAAAAGTACCTATATTTCACCTTAGCTCTTGGGGTGAAGACTTGAAAAGGGAAACTTTTCACCTGGCTGGCAAAGCTGGCCGAAGTTTATTAAGAAGGGGGAAAAGGAGCATCTGTTACAAAGCTTTCGGAGCTTAAAGCTCCTTTACAACGCTTCCGCTACAGGAGCTTAAAGCTCCTGTACAACGCTTCCGAAGTTTACAACTTACAGCACGGCAGGCTTATGCATGGAAGCGCTGTATCTGTATGTGCAAGTCTTTCTCAGGAATAGCATATGCAAGTCTTTCATGTTATCTCTCTTACATGTCCTTATTGGTGTTGTGGAATCTGGATTGGTACTTAAACCAACAGTTGCTACTTGCTTGGAATTTACATTAAGTAGTTTAAAATGATCATGCATTGTCATATTACTGTCTTCTCTTTCTATTTCTTGGCGATAACAGTTTGGAGAAGTGCTTCTTATGTTCAGTTTGACGCACTTCCATTGCATTTATTATTTCCTCTTTGACCTGATTGTGTTTCTGCTGCACCATTTTTAGGTCTGATTTTTGGGGGACAAATTTCAAGATATATGACAACCAGCCGCCATACGATGATGCAAAAACATCAAGCACTCGATCTAGCCAGCGTTTTGGAAGTACCCACCGTTTTGGAAGTAGACGGATCTGCCCCCAAATATCGGCAGGCAACTTCAATGTTGGGCAGATCTCATACAAATACAACCTTCTTAAATCTAGGGGACCTAGGAGGATGTTTTGCACAATGGAATGCCCTTCAACTCAAGAAACCTGGGAGAATTCCCTCAAGACAAAATCTTTGAGGTGCACAGGAACCACTGTCTTAAGGAACAAAGCTCCCCGCTGGCATGAGCACTTGCAGTGCTGGTGCTTAAACTTTCATGGGCGAGTGACAGTTGCATCCGTGAAGAATTTCCAGCTTGTGGCCACAGCTGACCCCAGCCATCCAGATAGCGTTGGAGACGAGGAAACAGTTATCCTGCAGTTTGGGAAAGTTGACAGCAATATCTTCACTATGGATTACCGCCAACCTCTCTCGGCGTTTCAGGCTTTCGCCATCTGCCTTAGCAGCTTCGGTACTAAACTAGCTTGTGAGTAAACAATCATGTCACAGCGTGGTTGCATACTTCATTGGTCAATTCTGCTGAAGCTCTTCTATTGGGCTGCTACCATGGCCATCTTTTATTTTGGTTTGCATCATGGTACTGCATCTGTATTTATTTACTAGAAACGTACCATTAGTCGAGGCGAAGAAAAAAAAATCAGGCTCAGCCTGTGTTTTGAAATCAATCAAAGAGGGACTAATGTAAATATGCCCTTGTCCATCTATTGTTGTCCGAGAAAGTCCATCATTTTTTATACTGTTGTAAAGTGAACAATAACCAGAGTTATATATCATCATGGCGGCTGTTATGGTTCAAATTCTGTAAATTCCTTCTGGCAGAAAACTTGAATGACATCTGCACTAAAGCTTATTGGCTCGTAGTGAAAGAACAAAACTGAAGCGCTGAAACCTGAAACAGATCCGGAATTCTACAACGAGGTGACGGTGATTTGCTGCAAGTTCAGGTAAAACTACTCAAGCTATCATCTAATTTTGCTTGCATGTCACCAAACCTGGTGTCTATAACAAAGATTGCTAAACATCTCTACTCGTAGGAGTCATTGCTCGCCTTCGCGACGCCAGCCTCCAGTGTTTCCATCTGCATCTCCAGCAACTTCAGCCTCTCGTTCATTCTTTGCAGTCTCTTCCTCGCAGCCTCATCTGACAAAGAGGAGAGAAGAACTATGAGTCTCTCTTATCGCTCAACTTACGCCGGGAACAATGTAAACGTCCATTGAAAGTTTGAAGCGGGGGTTTGAACCTACCGAGCTGTGAAGCCTGCTGCGAGATGAAATGCGAAGCAGCCATTTCCTGGCCGTTATCAGTAGTGACAGTCGTGTTGATGGGATCACTCAACCTGGACGACGATCCTTTCTTCCTCCCAAGCATTTCCGGGATGCAGTTTAGCCACTCCTGTCTTCACTACACTAGATTCAGTTCAGGCGGGGTTGTGACTTGTGAGAAGTCTCACATTGATGCTGTTTTATATACTCCTAATCCTAGCTTGGATATGTTATCAAGTTCAATTCATTCATTGGGTTGGTCCAAAGATATATTGATTGTCCTGCAGTCAGATGTCGAGGTCGAACATCTTGGTCAGAGTCAGACCCGGCGACTTAGACCGGACTCCCGGCGGCTAGCCGGGCAATTATGAACCGGAAAAGGTTCACTGTGACCTTCACTGACTTGGGAGAGCGATCTGACCCTTGCATGCGGATGATGATTTGCACACATGGATGCCGTACCGTAAAACCTGCATATGCATTGGCAGGAGCTCCCTTGATTGTACTCAGTGCTAAGACCACTGTAAAATGCAGATGATCTGAGTGCTGAGTGCTGGGTTTCGCGCGGCCCACTGCCCGAACGGTTACTGAAGGTGCATCAGTTTTCCCTACTGATCATGCTTCATTTCCAGCCTACTAGTTGCAGGCAGATCCACAATTTTAGTGAAATCCGGTTTGGATTTCGCAAAATCAGGACTTTTCAGAGCGGGTGAGAAACACAAACCACTTAGTTTTTCAGTCAAGTTCAAAAAATAAAACTGAATTATATCTTTTTAATCAAATTTATTTGGATTTTTCACATGGAGAGACCGGAGATGTAATCCATTTCCATTATCTAAATCTTTTTTTAGATTTTATCGGTTTTTATTGGTTTATCGATAGGCTCCACGAAATCTGATTATGCTGCTAGTGAGCGGATTTTAATTTGGTACGAGGATCGGTGAACCCTTTGCAAGCTTTGCAGGGCAGGCACTCGTCGGGCCAACGCAAGGACGTGCGCGGTTGATGCGTCGTCCACCGACCCGCCCGCCAACCGGCGGAGTTAGGAGAGGCCGGCCGGATGCCGTGCGACGCGGGACTACAGTAACTACGTACTAGTGTGTAGCTAGCTGCCGCTCGCTGTCGTCCGGTCCGGGCACTCGTCCATGGCATGGCCTGTAGCCTGGGAGTAGCTGGAGTAGGTCATAGCGAGCACGGTAGCAGCCAGCGGCCGGTCCTCCCTTGGATTACGCAGGAAATCCTGCGGCTCTTCCGGGGCAAAGCGAAGCGAAGCCCCCTGCGCGCGAGAATGAGATGCAACGCGTAGCGCGTGAGGTCTCTGCCTCTGCCCGGCCTCTCGCGCGCGCGCGGTGGCAATGCGTCCTCCGCCCCTTCAGGGCTCACGTTACTCGTATGAAAGCAAAAAACCGAACAACCTACGCACACAATACAAAAGGTTCCAGAATTGCCGAACCGCTTTAAGATCAGTGTAAATCACTATTATGCTCTGAGCATAGAAGTATCTCTTAAATACTGTTTTCTCGTGAAGATAGTGGTTGGTGATGGTTGACATGCGCTTCCAAAACAGAAAGGAAACCAAGTTCCAGCGTGGTAGATGCATGCATACGCGCGGATGGAGTAGTACCACAAGCGAAGGGCCGGCAGGGCGGGCAGAAATGCGGGGGAAGAGTAGACTAAAGGCAACGGCAAGGCGACGGGCGGGCGACGTGTCGGTAGTAGTAGTCGGTACCGGGCGCGGCCGGCCAGGAATTGATGGGCGTGCGGCGTGGGGGTGGGTGGGGTACGGCGCAAGCAAGCGTTACTCGCGGCGCCCGTCCGGTCCCGGGCCCGATCGAATCCGATGCGACGCGACGCGCCGCGCCGGTGGTGGTGGTGGTTCCAAAGTCCACGCGCGCTCGCCCGTGCCGTCCGGTTGGCCGGCCGCCTCGGCTCGTGCCTGGTGTAGTGCGTGACAGCCAGCCAAGCCAGCCTCGTCGTCCAATTCAATGCGCGTCGCATGGCCTAGCCTGGCCACCGGGGCGCGTCGCGGGCGCGGCAGGAGAGAGGAGAGGAGAGCGCCACGTCGTGGTCACGACCCTGCGAACACGCGGTTGCCCTGCCGTCCACGGCCGCGACGCGACCCCGCGCGCGAACACGGGAGGACGGACGGACGGGGATCTGATGTGGCGTACCGACGTGCGTGCGTACGCACACGGCCGCTCTACTTGACTCCGGCCAAGCCACCCCCACCACCACGACGTGCTGCTCGTTTTTTTCCCTCGCGTTTCCTGTACAGCTATAGTACCTTGATTTCAACGATTGTTCGTTCGCCGCGACGACGACGACCTCGCCAAAGGCGAGAGGTGCTCGCTCGTCCAATCTTGTGTCAGCTACGAACGGAACGAGGAGAAGTAGTAGCCGGCCTTGGGGTGCACGCCGCTGCCGTCCGTCCGTCACCCCGTCCACTTTTCCGGGCAGGTCTCGCCACCGCTCGATGGAGACAACAATAATTGCCCGCCTCCCCAGCGCGCCGGTGGGGCCCACACCACCTCACCCACCCACCCCCTCTTCGCGGCCTTCTCCCTCCTCGGTGTCTCAGTCTCTCTCTCTCCTCCTCTTTCGGCGCCCAAGCCGAACGAACGAGACGAGAGTACGAGACGCAACGCAAAGCCGACCAACGGCGACCACCTCAGCGCACCCGCAATCCCACGCCCGCCTGACACACACCGCGCGCAGCGCAGCGTGGGCAGCCGCGTAATTTCGCGCGGCCGCCACCGTATTCCGCCCCGTCCGGTCTCCGGACCCCGGTGGGTTGGGTTGCCGTGCCGTGCCGCGCCCTGTCTTTATCCCAAACCTCCTCCTCGCCAGCCAACGCTGCTTTCGCCGGTTACCCGGTCAAACTCATCCAACGGCGGCACGTCTCCGATCCGGTCACACCCACACACCCCACGAGATGCCTCGCCGGTCACGTGTGACGCGCGTGACGCCCCCTCCCTCTCTCGGCCGGCGCCCCACCCCCGCCGTGCTGTGTCCTTTTATTCCAACCCTCACCGCCCCACGATTCACGCCACCACCACTCCGTCCGTCGTCTCGTCTCGTCGCCTACCTAGGGTTTCGTGTTTGGGAGATCTGAGAGGGGGAGGGGGATGGAGGTGAGGGAGATGGCCGTGGCGGCGGCTGCGGCGGCGGCGGCGTCGTCCGGGGGAGGAGGTGGGGGGTTGAGGATGCCGCCGCCCAACCCTAACCTGCCGTACAGGGAGGATTGCTGGAGCGAGGGCGAGACGGAGGCGCTGGTCCGCGCGTGGGGGAGCCGCTACGTCGAGCTCAACCGGGGGAACCTGCGGCAGAAGCAGTGGCAGGAGGTGGCCGACGCCGTCAACTCGCGGCGCGGGGCGGCCGCGCGCCGCCGCCCGCCGCGCACCGACGTGCAGTGCAAGAACCGCGTCGACACCCTCAAGAAGAAGTACAAGGCGGAGCGCGCCCGCGTCATGCCATCCACCTGGTCCTTCTTCCCCGAGCTCGACCGCCTCGTCGGGCCCACCCTCTCCGCCTCCGCCTCCAAGAGGCCCTCGCCGTCGCCGTCGCCGGTGCCGCCGCCCCCTTACTTCGCCATGCCCATCCATCCTTCCGCGGTGAGGAAGCCCCCCTCGCCTTCGCCGTCGCCCTCTCCGCCGCCTCCTATGGCGTTGCCGCTGCCCAGCTACCGTCGCGGGTCTCCGCTCCCCGCCGCCGCTCTTATCCAGCAGGAGGCCGCGGCTGCAGCCGCTGCCGCGGTGTCTGATTCGGAGGACTCTGAAGGCCCTGGCGATAACAACAATCACAACGCGCAGCGGTCACCGTCGCAATCTGTGTCATCGCGCTCCGGCAATAGCAACAAGCGCAGCCGTCAGGAAGTTGATGGTGGTTTCAGGGAGCTGGCAAGGGCGATCGAGGCATTTGCGGAGATGTATGAGCGTGTGGAGAGTGCGAAGCAAAAGCAGGCACTGGAGATTGAGCGGCAGCGAATAGACTTCCTGAAGCAGTTGGAGGTCAAGCGCATGGAGAACTTTGTGGATGCACATGTCAAGCTTGCCAGGGCAAAGCGCATCAAGAAGCATGCAGGGACTGCACCCGATGGTATTGGCGCAGCGGAATTGGTTTCCTCTGTCGCTGCGCTGCCTTTCCTCTCCACCTCCACCTACATATGATGCTGAGGAGATGTTGAGGTAAAAACCGACCTAGCATTTTTGTTTTCAATTAATGTTGTTGTGGATAATAGATAATTGTTCAGTTATAATATTATAAAGCTGTAGTTATATATATGTGCTTTGGATTTGCTGGCATATAGTCCTGTGGGATGGGGATGCTGTGAAATGATGTTTTTATTGATTGATGATAAGATTGGTATGCTTCAGGAAAGGTTGTTTTTGTGAATATTATGTGTCTGGGCCAGGATTTTTAATCCCCCCATATAATCCCCGTATGCAATTGAATTTCAATAGTTAGAAGTTTAACATTGCATTTGTTCCTGGTAGTGAGCTGCTCTAATTGTTAGATTTTGTATCATTAATCCAATCATGAATGATAGCATGACACATATTTGGTCTTTTGGCATTTTCATCTATCTTGGTAAATACAAATGTCCTGATGATATATTATCTATCATCCTTAGTAATGAGTAAACAAACTTGAACAAGATTGCCTAGGTTCGCTAAGGTTGAAGCAAGGTCAAGTGCAACTTGATTGGGCTTAATAACTCATGAACATATATGCATTTATGCTAGTGTGTTAGTGGCTTTGAATGGTGCATTTTCCATATGCATGGTTTGACAACAAACATTTGAGCTCAAGTATGTGCTACGCCTGTTACTTTTCAATGTCTGTACTGGTGTGGTAGATTAGATTGCATAGTAAAACCTATTTTCCTGTTACAACACAATTTGGAAAAGTTTGATTTGACAGTTGTGCAGAGATTGGTGTGTTGGTTTGTAGATTTGAAGTTATTTTTTCCAACAGACAAAATTATCACATGAACGCTAGAGACTTTTACCGACAACCTGGCCTGTTCATGATGGAATATTTCATAATTCATACCCTTGGCCCTGGAATAGTAGATACAAGCCACATTGGATATGTTATTGCTAGTCTATCTCTGTTAAATTGGTGCTGAGACCTTTGTTAGTATGTATTGTGTGTTTTCTGTTAGACATATCGGAATGGACAGGTTCTATTACATATGTTTTTATGTCTGTTCTTTTTGAGCATCCATATTTCTCGGCTATCTTATGATTCCGTGAGGAGCTTTGTTGATCATTGGTTGAACTCCATTGTGTTCTACTATTCCTGTAAAGTGTCACTACAACTTGAAGATGCTGGATAAAATTTAAACCAATATAGTAACAAGTGATAAATGCAAGAGTGATACCATAAATTGAATCTTGCAGGTAAAGATAAAATAGACTTCCAGACTCTAGGGGTCTGTTTGACTTGTCTGTTGAAACTGTTGAAAATGCTTAATCTATTGAAATGGATCATGTTCTTCTTGTTGCACGTGATGAAGGCACCCATTTGGTCATTACTATTTACTAGCACGATTGATTGCTTAATGTTTCCCCTTTTTTTTTTGGTGCAGATTATCAGTGTGAAGTTCATTAGATGGCCTTGCTGACCATGGGAAGACTGGTTTGGCACTTGGCAGCGATTCATTGTAGTTCGTAGCCTGGTAGTATATGGAAATTGAAGACTAGAAGTTCCTAGTGTAAAGCAATGTTGACATTGGTGCCTGTGGGTTGTTAATCTGTTTACCTATTGTTTTATTGACATTTTAGGCATGTAACTCTGACCTCCTGTTTTATTTTTCTTTCTTAAAAAAAAGTGTATCGACAAAAGGTGTTGCAATCTTTCCCTGTCGTTGTTGATCGCCTTGAATCGTGTAGGAGTAGCAACTTTCTGCGGAAGTTCTGGGAGCATTCTGCAACAGTAATCGTGTATAAGCCCCTGATGTTGCGTTGACACAACATCAAAACAGCTATTGGATATAATTTGGCATTTTCTTTGCAAGAGTAATTTTGAAGCGTTTTGCTGTGGATATAAAGCGACCAAACGATAACAGTTGAAGTTATTGGTTATAATATATACTCTCCGTTGCATAATATAAAGGATTTTAGGTGAATGAAACACATCCTAATATGTCATATCCAACCAAAATCCCTTATATTATAGGACGGAGGGAGGAGTAGTAGTTTGTGGATGTTCTGGCTCCCTCAATTGCCACTCACCTTTAGGGTGAGTTTAGTTCACATCAAAATTTAAAGTTTGGTTGAAATTGGAACGATGAGACGGAAAGTTGGAAGTTTGTGTGTATAGAAAAGTTTTTGATATGATGGAAAAGTTGGAAGTTTGAAGAAAAAGTTTGGAACTAAACAAGGGCTTAGCCAAAAACTGTTACTGATCTGAATTTGCTTCGTTGCTAGTCGCCCTGTGCATGTGCTCCGCTGCTCCCAGTTAACTCGTCTTGTTTCTGTTCAAACGATAGCTGGGCTCTTTTTAAGTCTGTTTCATACCCCAGCCGGCAGTTATAATATTTGCATTTGTTTCATTCTCAGTTCTTGTTTCATCGTTACGTTGGTGAAATCTTCAATGGATTTTATAACAAGAAGATATGGGGCTTATTCACTTTGTTGTCTGAATCAACATTTTAAAATTTGGTAGCATTGTCTTCATATGATTTGTTGTCTTTATCAAATTTTGATAAGAGTTTTAAGAGTAGGCAACAATGGTTGAAATGTATGTAGTTTATATCTTTATTAAGTTTTGGTATTGTTGAAAGTGTGCTCAGAGTTGAGAGCGGCAGGAGCTCCGATACGTGCTCAGAGCCAGGAGGAAAGAAACCAAGAGCAGCGTAGCAGGCTAGCAGCCAGGAAAAAGATGACACTGTGGCCAGGAAAAATATCAGCACCATACATCGCGACACCAGCGTGTCAGCACTATGGTTTAAGATCAGCCACCGACGCCGGCAGCAGGTGGCGGTGAGTGGACTGGACGTCTGGACAGACGTGAGCGGGTAGGGAGAGGGACACCGCCACACACAGCGGTCGCCGGTCGGCGCGGGGCAACACGCGGGGAAGTGATGGTAATGTGCCGTGTTGCTGCCGTCCGCGCCCGGCACGACACGGGAGCCGGGAGGGGCCGAAGAAAACGGTGGCCTGGTTGGTGGGTGGGAGGTTGCTATACGCGCGGGCCGGCGAATCGCGCGAGAGATGCACACGAGACCGTGCGTTTGGACAGAGGCCGGCTCGGCCAGCCAGGCCGCGTGGGGCCGCGGGCTACAAGGCCATTCCAGTTTCTGGCGGGCTGCGTCAACCAAACAACTGGGCCTCAACCCTTTTATCCTCAGTAGTTTCTCTTTCCTTTTTGTCTAGCTGCAGTTTTTGTTTCTTTTCTTCCTTTTCTTTGGCATAGAAAAAAAGATATTTTTTTTATTCTAATATATTGACGTGTAATTATTTTGCGCGTTCGAAAAAAATTGCAAACAACTGCTTGTACCCTACCAGGATCGATCTCTGCTTTTTGCTGCAAGTTATGTTGCAGTACTGCTGCGCTGTGTGTACGTGTTACACGGGTTTCATGCGATCCTGCCCAATCAGCTCCATCACTTGAGAAATTTTTTGTTGTGGTCCGGCTAAGGATGATGTTCCAGAGAGCTGGCTGGCTAGCTAGCTAACTCTCCAGATCATAGGGCTGTACTGTTTATATTCTTTTTCCAACGAATTTTGGACAACTGCATATGTGCTAGTAGTATATAGCTAGCACTGCTTTATTCTGACAACACATACACGCACACATCCTTCCTCACGATTAACATGTGTCCTGTAGAATGTTGTAGTAGACGTTGGTCACCCTTCGTTGTCTCTGGCATATATCGGTCCTGCACCTCATGCAGCAAGCTAGGACCTCAACCAGTATAGCTACTAGCTAGCTATCGCTCGCTCGGGACCGTGTATAAAACTGTTGGTAACTTTTTGTGATATAAGTCAACAAATACAATCGCAGCTCTGTGAAGGAAACCCAACACTTTCTAAACTTTGATAATTTTCTTATATTTCGTTCATAGGTGTTAAATTTAGGTGTAAACAAAATCCATGTGTTACAGAGAGATATATAGAAGAGAGATGCACCCGCACCTTCACTCTCGGAGGCCCCGGCTGGCGCTAAGATATGTAGCTGACTGAATGGGATCGATGGGAGATGCTGATATGTCATGCATACACCCCACGAGGGAAAAGAAACGCTAGCTAGCAAGCTGCATCGATCTCTCATCTGAAACCAACGTACGCCAACACCTGCTAGCACGAGATGAAATGAATCGAATTGAAATCGGGGGGCAAGAAAAGTCTTGCTAGATGTGCCTCCTTCATTGACAAGTCCAATCGGATTCGCGAAAGCTAGCTAGAGCGGGAGAGGAGAGGAGAGGAGAGGAGAGGAGACGAGATGAGATCCCAGCTAGCTGCCACTTACACCTGGCACGAACGGCAGAGATTCTCTGGCATTGTTCCCCTGGGGACAAAACCGGAGAGCATCCGATCCGGCCGGGGATCGATCGAATCGCGCGCTAGCTGCAGCTGCAGCAGGAGCAGGTACACAGCGGCTTGCTCGCATTGGTTCATGGCAGCTCCCCAAAGGCAGACAAGACGAGGTGGTGCCAGCCTCGCCCTCTCGCACCCAAGGGTTTCCCTTAATGCGGTAACCGGTTTTATCATGATAAACCCACCTAATTCAAAAGGAATTTAACAAAAATATAAATGTTTATATTATTCTTTCGGCTTTTACTGTTCGTCGATATAATTGGACGGTTATGGGACTTACACCGAGGTGCGATAAGCTCCTCCTCGTAAAACCCTGCTCACACCACACCATACATAGCATAGACGTCTCTCCAACCTATACTCGATGTAGTACTAATTACTTATATTACGAGAGAATTTTAGGAGCTACCGAATAGTGTTGTGCTATAGTGTTGCTAGACTTAAAAAGTGTAAAAACAAAGTCAAAAGAAATGTGAAAAAAATCTTTTAATATTTTTCATTACGTTTTTATGCACCTTTTAAGTTTAGTACAACACGGTAGCACGGCACTAATAAGCACCTGAGATTCTCTCCGCCTAGTACGTCTATTGGTTCTGAGCCATTTTTCACGGCAGTTTTCTTGAGCAAATTAACCATGGTTTCGCGGCAGTTTTTGACAATAAACTAACCATGGTACGCGTCGGCGCCAGCGGTCATTGTCTGCACGGCAAATCTCTAGAGCTTTATCACGGACGAGCTGAACGATGCGAATGCATGCATGATTGATTTCGTATGGTTTTTAATTGGTGAGGTGAATAATACTGAACAGTGAACAGTGCTCGTCTTTCAGTTACAACTGTTTTTCTGTCGGAGAAATGTGTTAGAAAGCGATACGCTCTGTGTGCCACTGCCATCTTCTCTTCTGTGGTCACTGATGCTCGCTGCTCAGTGATCTGTACACTCTATATCCTGCTAAGCTGGTGTAAACGGTATATACAACCCCAGCGCATGCATGTGCGTGCTCGCCTGCTCGCTTTTGTTATTTTAGAGGGACGTGACATCTGTGACTATCAATCTGGACATGAGACTATCCAGATTGACAGTCCTAGAAAGTATCACATCTCTTCAAAATCTCTTATATTATAGAATGACGGGAGTAATAATGTTGGATGGAAAGGTCATTGATCTGAAAATTCATCCAAATTGAGCCGTTTTGTGGTCATCGAACATGTGTAGTAGAAACTAAATATAACTCACGTTATGTAACAAAAAAAATCCAACGAAATAATTACGGATGTTGTTCCGTCGGTAGAATCTATGCCGATTCCAGTTTTCTGCTCCATTTCTGAAACACTGTCCAACTATAGATTTTTTTAAGTAAGAAATTGGCAGGGAAATTGAGAATTACTCCTATGTTTCTACTAGGAAAAAGGAGGTGCATGCATGGCCTGGACTGTTTGGAATCCTGTACGGTTTGGATAGCGGCCCCCCTGATTCGTGCCTTTTGCTGGACAAAGTGAATCTTCAGGTGGGGGACTGCCTGCTCCATCTTCAGTAATGACGTCCCTAATCCAAGGAAACGGTATTATTCCCATGTGACTCGCTGCCACTACTACCTAGTACTCCACCTCTAGTAACCATGCACCTTTTACGCTCCCATGCATGCTGGGTGCATTTGACTAGCAATCCACAAGTTGCGCCATGCACTAAGGGGGTGTTTAGATGGGGCTAAAACTTTTTAGCCCATGTCACATTGGATGTTTGGACGTTAATTTGGAGTATTAAACATAGACTAATAAAAAAACTAATTTCATAAATGAGAGCTAATCCGCGAGACGAATTTTTTAAGCCTAATTAATCTATAATTATAAAAAGTTTACTGTAGCATCACATTGTCAAAATCATGACATAATTAGACTCAAAAAATTCGTCTCGTGAATTAGTCCAAGGATATGGAATGTGTTTTGTAATTAGTGTATGTTTAATACTCCAAATTAATATCCAAACATCCGATGTGACATGAACTTGGAATAAGTCCCTGGAAAACAAACAGGCCCTAAGCTCATTGATCACTGGGAGTATACGAGATCTGGTCGATCAGTGGGAGAAATTAGGGCAGGAGGTCCGGAAAGAAATCTCTACCGACGACGACTAAACGGGGTCGAAATGATTGTAGAGGCCGCAAGTTCTGGCGTTGGTCGTGATCACCGAAAAGTTCGATCTGGCTCTTGTCGCAGTCCAGACTCCAGAGTACACCCCACTTGCATTGCTTGAGCTTGTTTCTGGCGCAGCTTGATACTCTGATGCATAGCATTGCCTGCCCTGCCCTCCCCTCCCGGGATACGATACGACGTGACAGTGCATTCAAATTCAAGCCATACATGTCCTCCTCGATCTACCTAGCTTATACCAACGCATGCATGCATGTGCACGTCGATCCGATCGATCGATCGAGCTCCCAAAATCGCCTCCGAAATTGCAGCAAATTAACCAAGAGCGGAAGAAAAAGAGGAGTAAAAAAATCAACCGGCAATAGGATTGCCCATCCACGGGCGGGACAAGACGAGATGCTATATCTGGTATGGGCGTACGCGCGCCTAACCCCCGTGCCCCCGCAGCGACCGACGCGACGCGACGCGCGAAGGCCCCGCGCGCGCGCGGTGCGGCGTACACACGAACCTGCAGCCTGCAGGCTATCTTTCCCGTGCGCACTCCGGGCCGCGCGGTGACAGGAGATCGGCAGATCGCACTCTGTGGGCGAATACAATTCTCACCCCCGACCCACGTACGCGCGGGCGCCGGGCGTCCCGTGTCCACCAGGGCAAGCCCGGGCCGCGACGGCCGCGTGTCCCGGTACCGCGTGCGGGAGGCTGTACTCTACCATGTGATGAGACCGATTTTGCCACGGCGCATGCAACTGGATGGCCACGCCATGTTTTTCTTTGGAATTTTTATTAATCTCTATATCTACACAGGGTATAAAAAAACACAATGCACAGTTTTTAAACTCTAAACCTCCTACATTAGTGACTTGCTCCCTCTGTCCCAAAAAGACCGAATTCTTCGGTTTTCGTGTCCAACGTTTGACCGTCCGTCTTATATGAAATTTTTTTATTATTAGTATTTTTATTATTGTTAGATGATAAAACATTATTGTTTGACCGTCCGTCTTATCTTTTTAATTTTTTTTCATAATTTTTTAAATAAGACGAACGGTCAAACGTTAGACACGGAAACCTATGAATTAAGTTTTTTTTGGGACGGAGGGAAGGGAGTAGCTTCCAACTTCATTAGTGACTTATCTTTTCGTCACAGCACGAGAGCGCGGAAGGGGATAATCGGAACTAGTATGTGCTATCCGCCGCTGCACCATCTTCACCTCTGCGGATCGCAACCACCATCTGGTGCTAAACTTTCGTGTATGTTGTTCGCTGTAACTTTTCGAATCCCCTTGCGTCGCCGTCGGCCGTCGCATTCTGCATGCCTCTAATGCGTCGTGATGCTGCTATGCCGCACTACAACCGTCTTCCGCAAACCGTCGAACTTCCCGTTGGCCGACGCGGCCTAGTGTCGCGAAGCCATCCAGCACAACACGCTATGCTTGACCGCCGTCCACACCTATCTAAAATCAGACCTTAGGATCGATGCTCGCTTGGTAATTACCACCTCTAGGATGATGCCACGACATAAATCTTACTCCCTCTGTTTTTATCTATAAGCATTTGTACGTCATTTAGGAGAATTAAGGTTCACGAAAAAATTATAGATTTATAGCGTGTCATTAAGTGTGAGTTGATCGAAAATGGGAGAATTAATGCTTGGTGTAAGATAAGGAACAATTTGAATACTCATATAGTATTTGGGACAAGAGGGAGAGAGAGTAGACCGGAAGGGATAGAGATTCGAATGGAACACGGACTCCCAATGGAACACGCAGTAACCTATCTCAAAAGAGGCAAAATAATCTCATTACAGCCGTACGTGTACAGGTGAGTTGTACGAGTCGCCAGTACCAGCTTGCGAACTGATGGATTAATTCATGGGAAACAAAAGGGCCGCGGGGCGATGCATGCACGACGTACAAAACGCATCGCTAGCATGGTACAAACTCCACTTGTTGCTATGGCGCTATGGCTTGCATGCAGTAATATTCTGTTGCCACTTGGAGAATAGATTCGAGCACACACGGCCTTATCCGGTATGTCGTTGAAACTCGAAAGCAACGTAACCTGGCCCGTGATTACTGGCTCTCGTGTCGTCCAGGTCAAATGACGGTGGTCGATCGGTCGTCCATAGTCTATGCAGCTATGCTGACTACCTACTTATAATTAGCTGGTACGTATCTACTCCCTCCGTCCCATAATATAAGAGATTTTGATTTTTTGCTTATACTGTTTGACCACTCGTCTTATTAAAAAAATTTGTGCAAATATAAAAAATAAAAAGTTGTGCTTAAAATACTTTGGATAATAAAGTAAGTCATAAAAAAATAAGTAATAATTTCAATTTTTTTTAATAAGACGAGTGGTCAAATGATGCAAGTAAAAACTCAAAATTTCTTATATTATAGGACATAGGGAGTACTCCAATTAACTAGTCTTCCCTGTCTCTCATGATACAAGCTACAGAGAGATCTATGGGCTTGTTTGATTGAGGCCAATCTATGCCTAACCAAATCTTTGATAACTTCATTACTAATATATTTTATGGATGTTTGATTTGATATCAAATTTATAAATTGTACTCTAATAAATTTGATAGTATCAATACTTCTCTAGCTTTTTTAACACTACCGACATTTTGATATGATATAAATTGGGCTTCAAACCAAATAAGCCTTATTAGCAACTACAGTAGTATGCTAGCTAATGGCACAAGTCCCGACCTACCCGATCAATCGAAGTCAGGCTCTCATTCATCAGTTCCGTTTTTTCTGGTCCGTTCGTTCAGGCAAAGTTTGTCCTAGGAAAAGATCAAGAACACGAGTGAGAGAGGGAGGCACGGGCCCCTACCTGCCGCCAGTGGTGATTCCCATCGATCCCAAATCACATCGAGAGATGCTCGGATGGCCCGGATTCGCCGGATCCGTGAATCCATACACGGAAGATTACTTGAATTCATCGACGACAGAGTGACCTCATTCATTTTTGCGAACGCAGAGTGACCTCATTCAGAAGACGAGATCCAATAACATAAAGATTACCAACCGATCGACGTGCACATTTCGAAAGTATAGGTAAAAGCCATATATAATACAGTTACTCCCTCCGTCCCATAATATAAGAGATTTTAAGTTTTTCTTACGAGGTTTGACCACTCGTCTTATTCAAAAAATTTTAAAATTATTATTTATTTTATTTGAGACTTGCTTTATTATCTACAGTACTTTAATCACAACTTTTTGTTTTTTATATTTGCAAAAAAAAATTAAATAAAACGAGTGGTCAAACGTTATAAGCAAAAATTCAAAATCCCTTATATTGTGGGACGGAGGGAGTACTACACATTCTTGTTTAAGTTGTTTATACTCCCTCCGTCCCAAAATAAGTACAGTTTTGCACTATTCACGTTCAACGTTTGACCGTTCGTCTTATTTGAATTTTTTTTATGATTAGTATTTTTATTGCTATTAGATGATAAAATATAAATAGTACCTATATGTGTGACTAAATATTTTTAAATTTTTTATAAATTTTTTAAATAAGACGAACGGTCAAACGTTGGGCACAGATATCCACGACTGCACTTATTTTGGAACGGAGGTAGCACACATATAGCACACATATAGGTACACTCGTATGGCGCAGTAAGCATCATTAGCTACTACTGCACCTGCCGACCGCCCAGCCGGTAAAAACCATGCTACAAAAGGGGCGGCAGCGTCGACAGGAGCAGCACATAATCACATATGCATGCGGCAAGCTATTTTACACAACATGCACAACGCTGCACTGAACTGCACTCCACTGCTCTGCTGCAGAAAACCCCAGGACAGAGGAGTACTGCTGCACTACTGCACAGCAGAGGCATGCAGGAGGAGGCAGCTCGCCAGTGCCAGTTTTGGGCTGGCCAAGCAAGCCAAGGCAACGGCGGCCTTTAGTTACCAGAAATGGGTTAAAAGTAACACAACACAAGGATAGATCGATCGATCGATCGATCTCGATCATATTCACAGCTACCAGTACCACGGAGCTAACTACACTAGTACAGTAACACTTCACAGTTGTTCACAGTCGTCGGGTTGATCGATTTATTTCTTCGTCGCGGCCTCATCGTTGGCAGCGGCGTGCTGCAGCTCGTAGGGGCCGAGGCGGTTGTCGCCGAGGCGCGTCTTGTAGGCGGCCTTCTTGTACTCCCCCCAGGTGAACTCCCTGTACAGGCTCTGCTCCCCCTCCCGCATCACCTGCTCCAGCGGCGCGATCCGCTGCGACGCCGCTGGCCCGCCGAAGTAGATCACCGACAGCCTCGACTCCTCCCCCTCCGGCGCCAACACCCTGTGCTTCACGCTCCTGAACCTCCCATTCGTCAACACCTACACGTACACACATACGTTAATAATAAAAATGATAGTAAAAACAAGGCATAGAGCAATAATAATTTCAACTAAGGGTTTGTTCACTTTGCTACTATTTTCAACCTTACTTTTTTTTACAAAGTTATAAAAAAATAGCTACATTTAGCTTGTTACCAAATTTTAATAAGTACATATGAAATTTTGCTAAAATTTGGTAACCTTCCCAAAATTTTGGTAAACTTATCAAAATTTGGTAATACCAAAACTTGGTAAGGTTAAAAATAGTAGCAAAGTGAATAAGCCCTAATACTACTGAAAAATACCTCTTCTCCCAGTTCGTAACCCCTATAGTTTCGGGTTGTAAACTGGTAAAGAAATATGGAACTAAATATCGAAAAGTATCTTGGGCTTTTTAAACCGAAAATTTTTTTAGCCTCGATTCTTATTTAAACCAGATCTATTGTAGATTTTAAGAACTCTATTCTCGGGTAGCGTAGTACGTACTTGGAGGGAGTCGCCGACGTTGACGAAGAAGGAATCGGGGTCGGGGGGCACGGGGACCCAGCGGGCAGGGGAGGAGTAGTCTCCGCGGAGGAGGATCTGGAGGCCCGCGGTGCAGTTGGACCTGAGCACGGAGATGATCTGTGGGTCCGTGTGCTCCCCGAAGCCCGTCACGCCGCACTCGTCCCGGTCGCGGCCCGGCGGGAGGAGGCACGGCGGGTAGTGGTTCACCCGCAGCATCTCGTCGCTGCCCTCGCACCCCACCACCATCCGCCGCAGCACGCACCTCCCCTCCTCCGACGCCCCCAGCCCCAGCCCCTCCGCCATCAGCTCCATCACCCTGCACCCCACCCCCCTCACCGCCCCCGTGTACGCCTCCACCGCCGCCCTCAGCGCCGCCGGCAGCGCCGCGCCGCCGGACGAGGCGGCGCCGGCCGAGAGGAGGAGGTACTCCAGCCACCCCACGTCGCCGTTCGACCCGATGCTCTTGCTGCCGTAGCCGAGGGGCCGGGCGGGGCCGGACATGTCGAGCTTCTCCTGGTGCGGGAGCGCGAAGAACGCCATGGCGCTCGACTCCAACGCGTCGGCGAGCCCCGCGGGGACGCCGTGGTTGGTCGCCTTGAAGAACCCCAGGGTGCGGCACGCGTCGGCCACCGCCGCCGCCGCGCCCGGTGCCGACAGGTCGATGCACGGGATGACAGCTTGCGGCCCGGCATTGGCGCCCTTGGGGCACCTCACCAGCGGGATGTGCTCGATGGAGCTCGGCGCCGTGATCGCCACCATGGCGCGTGATCAGATCAAAAACCACCTAATTAAGCTTCTTCTTTTTGTTGTGTACCAACAGAGTGAGGAAACAGAGCAAGAACAGGGGAGGTGTTGCTGCCTCTGCTGCTGCACGTTTGCACTTGTGTTCTGCTCGTCAGATGGCCTCGTATATATAGGCAGCCAGAACTAACATTGCATGCTTTGCTGCTTTAGTGCAAAGCATAATGAACCTAGCTAGCTCGGAGTAGCAACATTCAAAGTGACATATTAGATGCAGTGAAAGGTAAATTAAGATGCTATTAATCTGTTCGTTTCACAATACTTTATTAGACAATACGTTTTATTTTTTTTCTGCTGACTATTTATTTTTAGCAATAAGTTTATAAAAATATATGCCGTATTTTAAAATGTGTCGTATGGTAAAAATGCAAACATCATATTCATCTATTCTACTCTCTCCGTTTCACAATATAAATCATTATAACATTTCTCACATTCATATTGATGTCAATGAATCTAGATTAACATTAATATGAATGTGAGAAATGCTAGAATCACTTATATTGTGAAACGGAGGAAGTATTGTAAATCAATTACATGTTGATAATAATGATCAAAGTTAAAACACTACTAGCAGTCAACACTGACTATTACTCCCTCTGTATACAACATAAGGGATTTTGACATTTTACTTACACTTTTGACTATTCATCTTATTAAAAAAATTATGTAAATATAAAAAACAAAAAGTTATGCTTAAATTACTTTGGATAATAAAGTAAGTAAAAAAATAATAATTTCAAAATTTTTAAAATAAGATGAATAGTTAAATAGTGCAAGCAAAATATTAAAATATAGGACGGAGGGAGTACTAAGAAAAAAAACAGAATGAGTAGTAACCATCGTTTACAAGACTACGACCTCGATGATCACTAGTCTAGAGTCTAGACTAGGGAAGGCAAGCTAAGTATGCAAGGCAACCACTGGAGTCCACCACATCTCTCGTAGTCTCAGTAGCTTGGAGCATTGGACCACCACACGCTGATTAGGACTCTGCGTGTCATTGTGTTGTGTTCTATGGAATGGATTATTACTTTCTTGGTCCATTCTAATCTGTGGTCGAGTGAATGGCATGAGTTAGCATGCATCCATCTTTTGGAATCCTAATTAACAATGTGTGACTTTGTTTGCATGTTATTTGAGAGTACAGATTATAGTGCTATTGTTCGTAGATATTCCTGTATCAAATTAAGTCTTCTACATGTATAAAGAAAGGCTAACAAACAGTACAATTGAGAAGTTCCCTGTATTTACCAATGATTTTGTTTCTCCCTTTATTAATTTTTCGTTCTTTTCCGGCCCTGGAATTTGTGATAGGAAAGGGGTATTATTATGCAGCTAACTTCTGGTTCTGGACCATACAATTTAGGGATGTAGACACCGGGCAACATATCCTCACGTTTTGTATTCAAGGGCGCACATGTTTTTTTTCTAAGCATATGTTTATATATGCTCCTCTGCTACCTAGATAATAGTTTATGCGTATGGTTTGGAATTCAGCTTATCTTTCGATAAGAATGTTTGACGCCTCGACCCTTGATCCAAAGGATACGAACATATTTAATTAGTAGTTAGTTTAGCACCGACCCTTACCGAATCCATGGTGAAATACCACGGGCTAAAATCCACAGCACAAAAGCTTCCAAGTCATCCTACAACAAGGTTCGATCTTGGAATGGCCGAAGGTTACTTTCAAGATTCCAGACTTGGTTAGCCTTGCTGACGTGATCTTATAAAATTTAAACGATAGATCCAAACAAACGCAGACGTTTCATCGCAACAAAACCAATGTGCTACAGCCTCCGCAAGCTGATTTGCGGGCATATGCAGCGGTATTGCGTTTATGCCTCCATTCGAACGGAGGCATTCTTAGAATTATTCTCAGAGAATAGAACTACACATTCTACCGAAATCCTGTTGGAATTAATTGGACTTTGTCCATTTAATTCTAGTAAATCCAAAAACTTGTAATTAATGCTAAGTAGAATAAATATTAGTACTCAATTAAAATGGGTTGTAAATTATATGCATATATGTTGACAAGCAGAGTATGGCGGTGAACTTATAGCGACTGTTCACTACTGGCAACGTTTGAGGACAGTTAAGCCTCCCGGTTCGAAAGAACTGCGCGCATCTGAGCACATACACAGGTAAATAGACGATCAAGTTTTCCCGTTGCTATTAGTGATTACCAGTTCAGAATACCTACGGGCACGGGTTTTCTGTACGAGCATCCGGAACTCCGTTCTCATAAGTAATTGCATGGGTAAGCTATTACCATTTCGGAAGACCTGTGCGTATGGGTTTTCTATACGAGCATTCTGAACTCCATCCTCCTAAGGGTCTGCACAGGTAAACGGACGATCAAGTTCTGAGTTCTGAGAGCGCTTCTCTGCGTGACTGCTATCTGCTCTTTTTCTTCCCGCTGTTCTGGATGGAAGGGGCTGCATCAATTTGTTCTCATGTTCTTCCTAGTCTGCTCACGTTTGACTACACCAACAACTGCCCATGACGACTGAGCAAAACACTGGAAACGGATCTATTGCTCCGGCCAATAGTCGTTTCAGGTATTATCCTAATCTAGTGCTTATTTCTTTTGTGTTGAACATATTAGTAGATGTGGTCTTTACTATTAGCATGTTTATGTTTAACACAAATATTAGATCATTCATGCAAATAATTGTGTCACGATTATTTTACTATTTTTTTATTAAATTATGAATTTTGACTAGATTTTCATCAAATCCTAGGTTCTGAAGGAGTCCTGAAATTTGAGGAAATAACTTTGAAACTAACTCATTGTTATCTTGCGTGCATGATGTGGAATGACCATTCTTGCCTCTCGCTGCTATTCAGGAGTGTGTATATATAACGACAGCTGCTATATCAGTCACTATACTTTACATAGTCGAATCACTATTTAGCAAAGGTTAATTGATCTTTTTTTCTCTGAATCATTATTACCTTCACTGGCAACATTATTCTCATTTAAATCCAATAAAACAGTTTTCATTACACGTCGTTGCCTCCTAATCAGTCCGTTTTCCTGTTTCCTCTTGTTGTCCCGGTCCTCTCCTATGGTGACTGGTGAGCATGTTCTAAACTGTTAATGGAGATATCGATTATTTACGCCATGCTTCTCTTAAGTACAATCTCTTCAGAAGCTTTTTATATCAACTTTAATTAGATGATTTTTTTTCAGAGCATTTATGATATTTAATTCATTTACATGAGTTTATCTGTCCATAATCTATTTAATCATCCAATTAGAATGCTCCTAGTGGTGCAGTGACCTGAGTTGTATCACAAGGTCTTGAGTTCAAATCTCCATATAAGCGAATTTTAGATTGGGTTGTTTACGGGGCTAAGTTCCCTATTTTAATAGCCGTATACATCCAGTTGGATGTAGAGGCCGGGTACAAAATACCATTCTCTAAAAGATTAGAATGTGTCCGATGGTGTTACTGCCTCAAGAAATGGTTCCTCTAAACCATGACAGGATATTGCTCTTGCTTATTTATTGAACTAGTTGATACTCCCCGCTTTGCTGCGGTATATATATGTGAATGAATGCATGTTATACATTATAAAAATGATAGATGTATATGTTTAGATAATATGAAAATAAACCATGACATGATATTGCTCTTGCTTATTTATTGAACTAGTTGATACTCCCCGCTTTGCTGCGGTACATATATGTGAACGAATGCATGTTATACATTATAAAAATGATAGATGTATATGTTTAGATAATATGAAAATAATGACTTGACATTTTTTGCATATTGTATTCTAAAAATACAACAAAATTGTAAATAATATGTCATGTTTGCATTATATTTAAAATACACGCTTACATGTGATTTAAAATATTTTATATAATAATTGCTAGTAGGTGATAATATGGTACACTTGCATATTGAGCTTTAGAAGTTAGTGGGCATCAACTATATAGATAATATAGATTTAATTCCGAGTCCAGCTACACAAGTATGAGGATGATAAGGAAACATACAACTTGGATGTCAAAATCTAAAGAGGATGGTCATAAAATTTCCACTATTTATGGATGGAGATTTAGACAAACAATTGCTTTCTAAATAATGTCTTTTCATCTGGATTTTGTTGTTTTTTTAACCCTTGTTATTATTTGAGATGATTAGTGCATTTGTTATATCTTCTATCGAAGTAAAGACCTAAATTTTTTATCATCTTAAAAAAATATATAAGCGTGTTTCCTTTGCCTGTAATTTATCCAATCATCCGGTTGGAACGTGCCCTAAAATGGTGTTACTGTCTCCACAAACTTCTTCACAAATGTTTCCACAGATCGCTTTGGTGACCTTGCAAAAAAGACGCGAATATTAGCGAATGATTTAATATCAAATAATTAGAAGATGTGAGGCTAAAAACCAGATTGTCTAGCTCACCACCTTATGGAGCTAGCCGGAAGACCCTGGATGTTTCTCAGTAATGACCTAGCTTGCTTTAATTGCTAAAATGGTACTCCCTCCTTTCCAAATTGATCAACATATAATGGAATTCAAAATTTCTTAAATTGATCAAAATATAACTGTATGGACATGGATTTTATCAGAGTACAATTAATACGGCATAAGAAAATGTGTATATACTAAGGTGTAATTGTTATGGTGTTTTAATTGATGAATACATTGTGAGAGAATATATACATGATGTCTTAATTAATGTGATTTAAATTATCCTTAGTTTTAGTGCATAAACATATATGATGATCGAAGGATGGAGTACGTGCTTCTATCCTCACCCATTAATGTGCCTTATTTGGGCCCGGGATAGATGCCGATATGGTAGAGGAGGCTTATCTTGTCAAGCCTTATCGAAGAGTGATCAGATGAACAGCCATGTGGTTTCATCAAATTGATCATATCTCAAACCAAAGTAGTCGGACAAATAGCAAATGAGAACCGCAGAAAGCTAAAAACGACGTGTGCTTATGTGTGTTGCTCGTTTTAATTTTCTGAACATGACACGACGTGGCCTATATTGCGTCCTCGCTCAAGCTAGCTACAATCAGGGCGTGCCTACACTATACTACCCGGTGTCATAGGACACCGGATAGATTATTCAAATCCTATATAAATTACATTATATTAATTAATATATTAGTTAATAATTAGATAATTAGTATGTATTAGATCTACGGTAATTTTTTTTCTGAGTTCACCACTGGCTACAATCTACTGCCGTGCTCGGTACAAACTGTCCCCATGCAACATTGAAACTAACCACTTGTAGTAGCGATTCGTTTGGCAGCACATGTTGCACTTCACATCACAGAATGGCCATATACTATGAACGTCGATGACAAACGCACCTGCCTCTGCGGGATGCACACAATGATCCGGTGGTCCGGCGATGCATCCGCCTAGTTTTTTGCAGGCCACCGAGAAACTTGGTGTACCGTGCACGAAACTCTCAGCACAGACCAAAGTTACATCAAGTTAGCTAGAGCTAGAAAACTCAAGTATATGTACAGAAGTTAACGTTCTTAATTTTGTACAGACAAAATCATGATACGCAAAGTTGATTGTGTCAGAGGATGAACTCCTTTAGCGGGAAATGTGCGGTCCCCTTTGTCAGTTTGGCCGGGGGCAGCTGGTGAACACAGATGAGTCGTAGAAATGGAAGTGGAAGAACCTCTCAAAAGAGCAAATAACACTTACTTATATGTAAATCTCCCAACTTTTAGACACGCTAGGATACATGCATTGATTGTGTGGATACACCATCAACTAAGGCGCGTTTTAAAGTGCTTTAAAATGGATGATTAGGCGCATAAAAAAAGAAACATGATTAACATATGTTTATTTGAGTATTGGTTATTAAAAACTTAAAAATGAATTTATTTGATTTGGAATGAAACACACCGTTTAACAATTAAAAAAAGTCGGCTAATAGAAATCGATAACATTATCTAAAAACAGAAATACCAAGCTGAAAAAACGTACGCCCTAAGAAATGTATGTCTCTGTTGGCGAGAATGAATTCTTCGTCAAGTCGGATAGTGTGGATTGGACACACTTGGACGAATACGGGTAACGTACGTTCACAAGGGATAAGCCAGGGACCAGCAGCCGCGCAGTTGTAAACACTAAACAGCGTTCGCCGAATGATGCACACTACTAGCATAATCCCCACAGATCAGAACAGAACATATATCGGCTTAGACTCCAAGTTGTTCCAATCATCAGTATCATTGAGCTAGCTAGCCCCGTTGAGTTGGCGTCAGTAGCGGCGCCAAACAGGGACGGATCAAGATGAGGGTATCGATCAACCAGCCGATTGGGAGGCCGGCCGTAATTCTGTCTCCAAAACCAGTTGGTAGTGCAGTGCATGCACACGTCGTCCAGAGAGGCGCGTCCCGTGACAGCGCCCTCCCCCCCGCGCGCGCCGCGCGCACAGCGCGTCGTACGCGCATCATCTCTCCCTCCCGTACGTTACGTGGCGAAACACCTCGAAACACATGCACTCCTCGAACCCATCGAACGCGCGAGGCACAGCACGTCGCGCGCGCACGCTACTCTCTTCCCTCTCTTCCCCGCGGCCGTGATCGCCTTGGTCCCCCACGCGTGGCGTACGTACGTACGTCGGCGGCGCGCAGGTCGATCGGCATGGCCACCACCCCACCGATCGAGTCGCGCACTCGTGTACTCCGTACTACGCATGGTCGCCTATCATTTCCGTCTCAAAAGTTTCACATGCGTGTGCAATAATCCGTGAACAAAAAGATGCACTGAATGGGGGTGAAAATGGCCACGGAAATTCCTGATCGATCGAGCACTGTTTCTATATAAGGAGTATCGTTTCCGACCATACTATTTTTGACTATTTTTAAATGTTGTTTTTTCACAATTCTTTCTACATCGTATTAATGTGGTCAATTACTGACCGATCGAAGATCGTTTTCGAAGAAATGCTACCGATTCGATCGTTTCCGACCGTTTTTCACCCCCTTTCTGAATCTGATGGGAAGGCACTAATCGATGGAGCGAGCAAACACGCACGTGTACTGTAGTTACATGCACTCAGATCGAGCTCTCTTTGGATGGGGAAGTAGGGAGCAGGGGTAGTCCGGTTGGTGGTGTGTTCCATCGCACCAGTAGCGCCGATGGTGATCACTCGGCGAGGAGAGGAGTCGTAGAGATCGGATAATGTACCAGGCGCCCCGGGCGGTGTGTCACGCATGTCCATCGTGCCTGGCCGGCGGCCGGCAGCTAAGCTTGCTGCCTCTAGCGCTAGCTACCATAGCTACTAGTGCTTCCACTGATGCGGCCATCCACCGCTTCTATACACAACATCGCCCTCGGTATAATTACATCCCACCACGACGCACATATGTCTCCATCCATCGGCGCGGCGGCCACTGCACCAGCCATCGTTTCGCCTACCGTCTGATATGATTATAAACCGTAAGATATTTTATATGTAAAACTCTTGTATAAATATATTTACGATTTAAAAACCAATACTAAAAATAAACCAGGATAATAATTTTGTTTTACTTTTTTTTTCTTTCTCTGACATAAGCCGGTCTGACTGAATTGCATTGTGTATAAAAAAAATTCTTCTCTCTAAGATATTGGTGTACATTTTTTTTGCGTGATTGTGAAAAAAAAAAAGATAAGCTGAAGAGCAAAACGACGAAGCTATTGGGGGATCCAACGTCCAGAAGTCGATTAATCTAAGAAGCTTCCACCGGTACAACGTCAGGGAGATCGTACGTTTGTGGTGCATGCACTCACTCACAGTCGCATACAGGCGAGCATCTATGTCTGCCCCCTAGTTAATTACATGTACATACACCGATACACGGCGACCGAGAAGTGTAGGATAATGGAGCAGCAGCATGCAGCAGCTGAGCGAAGGTACGTCGCTTTCGCTATCTCGAACTCTTATTAGCTCTGTTCACGTGCGCCGCACGCTGCTTGGACTGGGGTGTCCCAATGGAGCGCCTCCACGCGGGCTACATGTCGAGGGCGCCACTGACGACCCGATCACGACGCCACGCGTACCGCAGCAGATACTCCCTCCGTCCCAGTATAGCGGTCGTTCTACCCTGTAGATGCTGTTCCAGAAAGATTGGCGCGCCCAAGTCCCAAGAGCGAAAGTGCTCCAAAAAAAAAAAAGAAGTGGGCCAGTAGCGTGGGATTTTTCTCCTCCACCCGAATTTTTTTTCCTGCAAGCGCTACCTTATCTCAATCACATTTTCTCTTTCTTCCCCATCGCGTCCTCCTCCACACGAATTTTTTTCTTGCAAGCGCTCTACCTTATCTCAATCGCACTTCCTCTTCTTCCCCATCGCGTGCTCTTCCTCTCTCGACGCCGCACCCGATCCGCTTCTCCCTCCCCTCACCAAGCCGCACCCCATCCTCCCTCCCCTCACCAAGCCGCACCCCATCGCGCTCTCTTCCTCTCCACGCGGCTTCTCCCTCTCATCACCACGCGCAACACATCTAGCGTGCGCATGTTCAGCGGCGGCGGAAACCCTAGGGGCGGCGGCGGCGGAGGCCCCAGGGGCTGCGGCGGCGGAGGCCCCAGGAGCGGCGGAGGCGGAGGCCCCAGGGGCGGTGGTGGCGGAGGCCCTAGGGGCAGCGGCAGTAGCAAGCCTAGGAGGGGCGACGGAGGGCTAGGTTGTGGCCGCGGCGATGACAGCGACCTAGGGTTGGGTTATGGCGGCGGCGGCAGCGGCAGCGATGATGGTGGCGGAGGGTTGGGTTTTGGAGTTTCTGGCGGTGGCGGAGGCTTACGCAAGAGATTGGGTTGTGGCGGTGACGACGGAGATGGGCTGCGGAGTGCCTCCCTGATGCGCAGTAAGAAACGGCGTCGAGGCATGTGGTACTCGCGAAGATACGGACACTTATTGGAAGAAGGCAAGAATTTTGTTTTGGATACACAAGATGGGTCCGACGATGACCAGTTCGAGTTCATCCCTGATTCCGATGATGAAGCCGAGGACCATCAGTTCTCCTTGGACCAGGAGTTTGTGCCCGAGACTGAATTCCAGGATTGTGGGGAAGCGGAGGAGAAGGGTGGTAGGATTGAAGAGTGCAGTAAAGTGGAGGAGAAGGGTGGTGGGATTCAAGATTGTGGGGTAACGGAGGAGAATGTCGATGTGATTCAGGACTGTAAGAAAGTGGAGGAGAAGGGTGGTGAGATCTATGGTGGCAGCAGCATGGGGCACTCACATGATGGAGGGACACGGACTGCTGCCCGGAGGGGCGGATGGCATATTCGAGGCAAGTGGTTTGAACGTAAATCCGGCTACTTATTAGAAGAAGGCAAAAATATAATCTTTGATAGCCAGGATGGGCCTGATTTGGATGAGTACGAGTTCTGGCCTGATTTGGATGATGAAGGTGGTGGCTTGATACTTGATTGGTTCGATGGTTCGATGAAGGTGTCCACTTCGTCGAATGCTTTTTACCCACAGGGAGGTGACTTGCGGCAGGGGACAATGGCCAACCAAGGTGGTGGACCGAGCAAGCACATCATGGTGGAGGCCTCCAATATTAGCGGGCAGAGCAAGGTGCGTGCTTTTAATCGTTAAATTTAGACATGAAAATTGGGTTGTATTGGTTGAAAAAAATGCTAGTTTTTGAACATATTAAGCCCAGTTTTCCATTTGATCACCATAGGACAGCGTACTGTATATCGTATTTAATAGTGTAAGGCTCATTATGTATTGATTAAAAGGGAATGTAAGCTCCCGACAACCTTTTTGTTGTATTTCTTTCAGTTAGCAATCATTTCTTTCTATATAATTGGTAACCACTAAAGATTACTTATTGCTATAAAGCTACAAAATCATGAAGCCACATCACTGGAATTTGTGAGCCGTTCGATCTGTTGGTTAGATACGTTCTTACCTGTATGATCCCTCAAATGTCACCTCAATCTAGAGCCATGGGATTTAATCTAACTGCTGGACTACCGACTCATCTTCTTTATTCTTTTAACCCCCCCATGGCATGGTCCCACCTGTTCGTTAATACTACTACGTAACTTCTGAATTCTTTCGTTTCTCCAACTGTTCATATTCATGTCCATCCAAATAAAATGATGTTTCCTCTTCTTTGGGCACACAACACACTGTCATAGATGAGGTACTATCTCCTATATACATGTTGTAAGCAGCCATGGCAGTGCCACCACATCTATTAAAATTTTAGATTTTAGTGCCTCTCATGGCTCGAGGGCATCCCACAAATATATCGAGATTTAAGATCAAGAGGCTCAGTGCTATTGCGTCCCATGGATGTGAGTTTTTATTTTTATTTTTCTTCTCTCTAACTAGGTACAGATTTGTTGTAGTATCTAGGAGCACATCAACGAACTCACGAACATGCCCAAAATCAGCTAGCTAGGTACATAAAAAAATAAATGAAATTATATATTTATGAATCAATTTTTAGGGATTTTCTGTGGTACTATACAGGTGCTATACAAAGTGTTTTATTTATGATGTTCTTATAATAGATTTCCATAGATAATCATATCTCCTTTTATTCTTTCATGAGCCTTAATTAGAAATGACATTCACACACCCACTATTCAAATATGCAAGCACTGAACATAGAGTGTACTGCTCACTGCTATTTAATTGATGTAACTTTTAGTTTTGATTTGTTTTCATATATGTTCAGGACGTGTCTAACCCACTGATGCCCAACAAGGAGGAGATACACGGCGAGGAGAAGATACCCAACGACAAAGAAAATGGTGGTGATGTGTTTGGTGGCGTGGAACAGTTTGGTTATTCACAGGAGGAAGAATACGAGCCCATTGATGACACCAAGTTGGAAATGCTTCGTCTACTGATCCCAGGTTACATCCAGTGTTTCCAACCAAAAAAAAAGTAGTGTTCTGATTATGTGACATGAATAGTGTGCCATCTACCTCCAACTTGTTATTAGTCTAAAGTATGAACTCATAATGATTGGGCTGCATAGTTCATCCTATGATGCTATATGTTGTGGTTCTGTTTTGGTGGCATCTTTTGGAAATATGGTTATGAAAACATCTTAATGAAATGCTATGTCTCTATTCGATAGCAATACAATCAACTTGTATAATGAAATACTATTCTTTTTATGTGATTGTGCATATGAACAATCAACTTGTTAATATAACCTAGGATAAAACATTAATACAAGCAAATAACTTATATATTTAGTTTCCACAATTACATAGACGCACAACTTATATATCTAGTTTCCACAATTACATAGACGCATATGTACATAGATGACACAAGTGCACAATTAGTCAACTAGAAGCTGTATGGCTCTCTCATACAGCTGATGATCACAACAAAGCGCTTTAGGAAGAATGCCAAGTGCCTCTAGCCTCTCTTTGTTCATGTGAGGGATCTTGTACTTATTCCCTCCACTAGCTTTCATTACCTCAATGTAGCAGCTTTGTAGTGTCACGAACACTCTATTAAGAGTGTTTGGATTGTAGTCATTATATTCCTTGTGAACATTCTCTATTAGTTCCTCCATGTTGCTAGAGACCCTAGTAGATGTTAAGGACTGAAGTGAGGCAAAAAAGCCAAGGTCTAGACAATTCATATCGGGGGAATTTGGAGGTTGATTCACGAGGCGAATATCAAGACCCATTTGACCTACTGCAACACCAAATTGTTCATCATCGATTGGGACATGCGTTCTAGCATTATCCTGCTGAATAAATATTGTTCTTCTTGCATCTTCTTGGGGCCAACATGCTCTAATAGCTGGGAGAACTTTAGAGATCATGAATGATTTCATAGTGTCTCTATCAACCTTAATAGTCTTTGTTACAAGTGTCCCCCTTTCTCTATTGCGGCTGCTCCTTTGGGCGGGTTCCTATTAGTACATCAAACAAGTTAGGTTCAAACATGAAAAACAGAAATAAATATAAGCAAACAGCACTTGTAAGAAGGTTGTGTTACCTTTCTAACAAAAGGCCAAATGCCTATCTTTCCATCAAAAGTGCAGTTACCTTCATCATCAAACCTAGGTCTCGCAACCGCCGACAAGAACATTACCTTCTCAATTGCATTCTTGTTTTGGACAGTCCTATACGGCTCCGGCTCAAGAGGATGTAGGTAGTAAGTCTTGTCCTTTTTGGTGGCGTTGAACCATTTTTCATCTATGTGGATAATGTTTTCCATTTCAATAAACTTGGGGTTGTTTGGCAACGTACGATGGTCTAACATACCAACACACCACCGCAGCCTTTCTTTTTTATTGGCTTCCTTCAAATAAGGCTTCAATGAGTTAGAGTGACGTCGTAGATGCCCTTCTTTGAACAACCTATGCAATGTGCTTTTTGACACACCTAGCGCTTCAGCAAGTGACCTTATAGTGCTTCTTTGCCGCAATGGAATTGCTGCTACAACTGACAAATCTATTTCAACCTTCTTGCGCCCACAATTATAACGCTTCCTTGAGTCAACATTGACTTGTACTCCCTGTGCAATGCAAAGTTGTGCTCTCTTCCAAATACGTTGGACTGTACGGATGCTCACATTGAACACTTCAGCAACTACACGTGTGCTGCCTTTTTCTAGGTATCCATCCAGACTTTTTGTAAGCAACAATTCATAAATGCTTCGCCTTTGTGGGTTTGTCAATTCTCTGGCATTGATTGGCTCATTTGCATTTGCATCATTTTCTTCTTCATCTGAGTCGGGCAACTCCTCTTTCTTCGAGCACAACATTGATAGCATCAGCGTACACACTATAATCCTGAATGTCATCCTCCAAGGCTTCTAGCTCATGTTGCAAAGCATCGTCGTCGTCTACAAAATTATTTACTTGGTAAGTTAATATGTGCTAATCAGATTATGCAGATTTATTGAATCCTAAAACCAAGGATAGAAAATGTTCGGCACTGATCATAAAGTCATGAACTTTACCTAGTTCAATTTCTTGTTCCTCATTTCCATTTGCATTAACATCCATGTCATACTGCATGCCTTGCTGATCATTATCTACAAAAAAAAAATTACTTGTTGGTCAGTGCCCTTTATGTAGACACAAAGAACATTGAATAAGTTTAGGATTTGCAAAGTCATGATACATGACTGTAGGTCACAATAGTACTATCTCTTCCATGTCAAGAACCATGACTTATTCATACATCTTGCTAGTATGGCAGGTATGATTTGCTGGAATGCTTATACAACAATGTATTTTTGTGTCCTTGTTTAATTACATACTTGCTCTAGCTTTAGTGCTCTAAAAGTTCTTTTTTTTTCTCAGCTACTTAATTCAGTGATTACTTATTTACAACAAGTGCAAAAATATGGTGTCTGGAATGCTTATGCAATAATGTATTTTGTGTCCTTGTTTTGCTCTATCTTTAGTGGTTTAAAAGTTCTTATTTTTCCTCAGCTACTTAATTCAGTGACTGCTTATTTTCAGAAACAAGTGCAAAAATATGGTGTCTGGGGTTGGGAGGTGGAGTTATGCTGCATATGCTTTCACAAATCCAATTTCACAAGTAAGTGACCATCTAACCATCAATAAATATTTGGCATGTAAACATGTGCCTTTCTTTTGGTGAATATGAAATCCTACACATTTGGCATCATTTGAAAGAATGCAACTATAACTGGTAATCTTTGTACAGTAGCAGTCCTTGTTTTGTTCACATATTCTATGGGTGCGTGCTGATGAGGGAGTATAATTTGAACTATATTTACTAATGCATTGAAGCATTGACTGAGAAAGATTTCATTTATGCATTGAGAAAGATTACATGATGTCAAATACCTGGATGCACTTGTTCTTGTTCTCCTGCAACTTCCATGTTAAGATCAAAAGCCCTCAAGTTGAGATCAAAAGGATGTACAACCCCTCCACCTTCTGCTTCAATAGCATGCCTTCCTTCTCCTTCTTCCTCCAGATTGACTTGTGCTTCATTGAGGTCAGGTAAAGCCCCTCCATCTCCCTCTTCATCTGCTAGTATGTTTAAATCTATAGCCATTGTGATTTGTGGGCATGGAGTTGCTTTGCAAGCTGATCAATGGAATGGGAAGTGACTGGTTGACTGGCTCCTTGAGGATTTGTAGGGAATGGAGGGGCACCCTTTGGCGGCAAAGTAGCATATGTTTGTAGTATTTTGAATTCAAGGGCTTGTTTAGATAACTATGCCACCATGTAATAGGAGTGTTTTGGCGCCAGTAAACTCAAATTACAGTACTTGTATGCTTTGCTGCCTGGGACAAACCTTTCATTAATTAATTGCAAAATGAAATATTCGTTGTGTGTCAGGAGTGGCAGTGCACTCTTTGGATTGAAATGATTAACTGCATGTAATAATTTGGGGGCAATATGGTCAATTTTACCTAAACATAATTTGCTTCTATTATCCTAGGACGTCCACTATACTGGGACGGAGGGATTACCACTGATCCATCGATCGTATCCTCTCCCTTACATTCCATCATCAGCGATGGATGATATATGCTCTGAATCGAAACCAAATTAAGATTGAGACAGAGAAACCGCTGCCATCGCCCATCGATGAGATATTTAGGTTCCGATATTTTAGTACGTACAGAGGTGTCGATGCAATGATCTTTATATTTTATAGTACGTTTAAAAAAGCAACAAACTCTGGAAGCCTTTGTTTTCTTGATAGTGTGCAGTTCAAACCGAAATTACGTTCCCCGTTTCTTCAGGGGACGCCGACGGATTGACGAGACAATGAGCTTAGGGCCTTTTCATTTTGGGCTAAATTTTTAATAATTTTCCTGTTTCTCGATAGCATATTTCTCAAACTGATAAACTATGCATTTATAAAATAATGTGTATATAAACTTTTTTACAAAATACAATAAATATAATTTTAAATTTACAATAACTAATACTAAATTAATTATACACTAATAACTTATCTCAATTCTCGATTAGTTACAGCCTTACCATTACCAGCTTCTATGCCAGAGGGGACTACCTATACATTTGTCGACAAATTTTTCCCCAAAAATTTGACAGATGTAATTATAGTACAATCGTAGTGTAATTACACTGTAACTTATATGTAATTACACTGTAACTTGCATGTAACTACAGTGTAACTTATATGTAAGTTTCACATAATTTTGAATCGTTGGATCTATTACAAGATTTGTTTTGGTGAGAAAGAAAACAAATCATAGCACACACATATGTGAAAGAATTTGTTCCCATGACCTCCATTTTACCGAAATAATATGTAACGGAGAGATTTTTAAAAGTTACATACAAGTTACACTATAGTTACAGTGTAATTACATGCAAGTTACAGTGTAATTACACTACGATTGTACTGTAATTACATCTGTCAAATTTTGGGGGAAAAATTTGTCGACAAATATATAGCAAAATCGATACCAGAGTGTTTTTATACATTTTTCTCGGCAACGGGCTGTCACACCAGTATTGGACCATCCCTACGCAATGGGCTAAGCGATGCCTAACATTCTTTCTCAGCCCATTCAAAACCAGCCCTTTTCTCGCGGGGCCTAATTACCCGGCCTTTCAGTCGCCCAGCCCAACGTAAATCAAGAGCTCCTGCTAGCCCCGCGACTCGTCGTCCAACCCAGCCGACACTCACCGAACCCACCTCCACCTCCGCGTGACGACGCAAAGCAAAAGCTTTCCGCCGGAGCACGAGCGTAGCAGGGGAGGCGGCCGGCAGTGCGCGCCCATGCATCCCATGCCCCATCTAACGTACGTACGTGTAACCCCATTTCTGAACCTGGCTGCTCATCTCAGTCATCACCGTGCGCCGCCCAACGTGTACAGCTTTATAAACAAACCGAACAGAGCTGAGATTGCCTAGCGACCAACCGGCTTTTGTGTGGGCGAGTTGCCGGCCATCTTATCGCCGGCCGCCGCCGGTGGATTGGATTGGATGGATGATGGTTCGATGCATGTAACAACAGAGAAAATTAAAGGAACAGATTACAACTGATTTGACCTGAGAGCATTAGCTTAGTTATCAGCAGCCAACCACTGGTCTCACGCCTCTCTCTTTCTCTCTATATATAAACCTGCCATCTTCGTAGCATTGCACACTACTGCATCTACAGCATTTCATTGGCACGTTCGATCGATATTG